GATTTTACGCCACGGGGTCCGGCACACGAACCGCGGTCGACTACGTGGGAATCCAGCGACATAGCCATTACGCTAACTGCTGGTTCCCCCCTAAATTACTTTTCAGATAATGTAATGAAATTGAAAATAATTTGTAATTGGTAAGCACGTATAAAAAAGTGTTGTTTTACTAAAAGTAAGATAAGCAGGGAGTTATACAGTTTGGTTTTCTGTGTGTTTTTGGTGTTTTAGAATTATTTTATTTACCTTTATTATTATTACTATTATTATTTTCCAGTTTCTTAAAATAATTATCATTTATTTTTACTTATTTATTCATTTATTTTAATTTGACTAGAGAGAGAGGAAAGTGAGAAAGCAAGCTACCAGGTCTGGGACTCGAACCATGGTTAGCCATGTGGGAGTCCAACGCTTCAACCACCATGCCACCTGCCGGCCCCTATTATTTTCCAATTTTACCAAAGAGAGACGGAGGGAAAGTGAGAAAGCAAGCTACCAGAGACTTGAACTGCAGTCAGCCATGAGGGAGTCCAGCGCCCCCAACCGAGTCACCACCTGCCGGCTCCTACAATTTGTTAAACTATGTTACTTTTAACAATTATTAGTGCAGTGTCTTCTAAAAGAATGTTAAGGGCTCTAGCGGATTATTTCCAAAGATTATAATGAAAATGAAGTTATAAATTATGAAACTATTGTAAAATAAAAATTTGTATAACTGTGAGGGATAGTTTTAGTGGGAGACAGATATTAATCAAAGAATCACAATAAATGTAAAATTAGAACTGTGATAATGACTAAGACAGAAAGGTACATGGTGGTGTTATATTTTATCAGGAAGGTCAAGGAAGTTGCCCATCAGCAAATGATAATTTATGATGAAGCATGTGTGTGTGTGTGTGTGTGTGTGTGTGTGTGTGTGTATTTCCCCCTTTTTTGTGTGTGTGTAACTAAAAGAAGCCTCTATATATATATTTTTGGGATTTATTCCTATTAATAAAGTTTATAAAGAATTATAATTCATCACTTTAACTACAACTACCTTAAAATAAGAGTAATAAAATCTTTCAGTGATGACTAAGTGGATATATAATACTGTACTGAATTAAATTCTTGTACCCAGTAATTTTACAGAAGCAAGGACACGGAAAATGATCGTTAACAAATATGCACCTTCTTTCACAATCCTATTCTCTTTACTTTCTTAAATGTTTATCATTTATGATGTGTAACTTTTGAAAAAGAAAATCTTTGTGCTTAGCATAGTAGTGTTTCCATAAGTGGACTATTTGATAGCTAATTCTGTAATTTTTTTTAAATTAAAGAAAAAATACTGAACTCAATGTAGTTTTAGACACTTGTTTTTGTTTGCATGCAGATCCTCATTGAATTTTGTGCAGGTGGAGCAGTAGATGCTGTGATGCTTGGTAAATATCTTTTTGTTCTTCATTTACATCTTAATAAAAATAAAAGAATTTTCGGGACCAGCAGATGATGTAATGGTTATGTCACTGGACTCCCACGTAGCTGGCCATCGTTTGAGTCCTAGACCAGGTGGCTTAAAACTCATGCAGGGTGCCTGTGCATGCGTGCCCAAAATGCTGGGTGCTGGGACCAGCAGTTGACATAATGGCTGTGTCGCTGGACTCCCATGGAGTCAACCATGGTTCAAGTCCCAGACCTGGTGGCTTAAACTCATGCAGGGTGCCTGTGTGTGCGTGCCCAAGATCCTGAGAGGAGAATGGAGGAGAAGGGATTGTGGTGTGGCCATCCCCTCTGGGGGGTGCTTTGTGAATTTCTGTCTCTCTATCTCGCTCTGTCTTTCTGGAGAGTGCACGTGCCCTATAGCAAAAACCTCTCTCCAAAAAAAAAAAAAAAGAAAGAAAGAAAAAGAAACTCACACCGGGCGCGTGTGTGTGTGCTCCAAAATCCTAAGAGGAGCATGGAGGAGAAGGGATTGTGTGGCCATCCCCCCTTGGGGGATGACTTCTTGCTTTCTGTCTCTCTGGCAAGTGCACATACACCATAGCAAAAATGTCTTAAAAAGAAAAAGAATTTCACATATTTGTACATGTATATATAAGTGTTGAGTGCAGTTCAGCAAATTACAAACTCAATCATATTTTTGTATTCTTAGATTACTATAATAAAATAAAATGTTGAGTATTGTGTCAGGAAAAGAATTTTTATAGATATGTAATTCTTTTAAATTAAGTAATTTTTGATAGCGATGGTACATACAGAAAGGTATGTAGTGTGCTAATATGTTTTCACTGTATAAAAATGCAAATGTTTTTACTTTCTCTTTATAGAACTTGAGAGACCATTAACTGAGTCCCAAATACAAGTAGTTTGCAGACAGACTTTAGAGGCATTGAACTACTTACACGAGAATAAAATCATCCACAGAGATCTTAAGGCTGGCAATATTCTTTTTACCTTAGATGGAGATATTAAATTGGGTAAGTTATTCGCCTAAATGAAATGTTTGAATTTGTACCCTGAGATTTCCCCGTGTGTGTATAACTTACTATACATTTTTAAGTTCATTAATTTCTTCCATAAATGAAAGAGACATCACCCTGACAGGGTCATGATACCATGATCTACCCTAGGCCTTCAGGCAGACCCAGTTCATGAACAAGCATGTGTTCGTCATTCTCAGGGAGTTCTCCAGACTCGAACCAGAAACCTTTCCATGTGGGATTGCTTCATAGAGCATCACAGTTTAGCTGCTGTACCACCATCTGGCTCCCTTTAGTATTGTTTTATTACCATTTAAATATGTGAAGCATGGAGAATTATTCCATGTTAGTTTTCAAACAATACTGTGGATAAATACTCACTAACTGCTAGAATTTCGAAGTATAGACTCCTAAGCTTTTAAAAATTGGTTAAGAATTTTCCCACTAAAATGTGAAATTTTGCATTATAAAATTGAGTAACCTGTTTATCATAACAAAGTAAAATGAAATGGTATAAAAATCATTGGTATCATCATAGCCTTTGAATACATTCTGGCCCTTTAATATCCTTCCATAATATTCCAATTCAACCTCATCACTAGATTTATAAAATAAAACCTATGTCTTGAGTGTACTTAAAGAGTGCTATATCATGTCTTTGTATGTGTCCATATAAAATTAATTTCTCATCTGAAATCTACATCTTACTCTTCTTAAGTTAATAATTTTTTTCCCTCAGTATAAAAAATTAAATTAAAAATTTGAATCTTTATGCTTATTTCAGATATCCTTTTCAGACCATAGGTTACTTTAGCAGTTCAGCCAAAGCACCATATCAGTAAAATAGAGTATAAAACTAAACATGGAAGGAAAAAACCCCACTAGGCATGAGCATTGGAAATGAAGATAAAACAGAGTTATTGGTTGTACATACTGTATTATATTACAAATTTAAATACTTAGTTATTCAGAAGTCCCGTTCATATAGGAAAGACGGGAAAAAAACTTCCTTCCTTTTATTTACATAACTTTCAAGAATAGTAAATTTTAATTGTTTCTCTCTTATCTTCGGTTGGTGACCAATGTTTTAAAAAATACCACTATTAGCTCATGGATTTAATTTTACTTGATGAGTTTCAAGTCCATTGCAGTTTTAATCTTGGTAATCACATTGTTTTATCTTTAATTACTGGGAGCTTTTTCACGTTGTCCTGTTAGTCTTTTTGTCATGACACTACGAGTCTTCGATAGCTTCCTTATTATCTGTTAGGTTGTGTTTCAGACTCATCTTCTGTATTTACTGAGTATTTCTCAGACTTAAAATAATCTGTTTCTTCAAGAAAATCTGGTTTCTTATATTAGGAAATAGTATTTTTTTTAATTGCCAGAGGATGTGTGTACTTGCACATGCGTGCACAGGGAAAAGAGTGAGTTAGAGAAAGAGAAGGGTGGGGATCCCCAATGGAACCTAGATATTCTCTGATTCTTTTTCCACTATTTCTACTTCTCATCAGGATTTTGGGACTGCATACACAATGTGCCTGGTGTGTTTTTGAGGGCTAGGATTTGAACTGTGGTTGGCCATATGAGATCCGGCTCCCTGTACCCAGGGCTTATCCACTGCTCTATGGGCCAGACTAGGGAATGGTATTTCAAGGCTATAATCTGAATCTTAAGAGATGCTTTTAGTTTTTTGTCCTGGTCGTGGTTCTAGGCCATTTCAAAAAGACAGAATTTAGGCTCTTTGAATTCACAAGTGTTTCCTATTCAAATTTAGGATAAAGTTTTGTTTTTCTCTGTAACCTCTTGTATATTATATCTGTATGTCTTCTGTACCAAGAGTTTCTGTTTCTAAGATATTGATGATAAAGGGAACCAGCAGTTAGCGTAATGGCTATGTCACTGGACTCCCACGTAGTCGACCTCGGTTCGTGTCCCGGACCCGGTGGCTTAAAACTCACGCTGGGCGTGTGTGCGTGCGTGCCCAAGATCCCGAGAGGAGAATGGAGGAGAAGGGATTGCGGCGTGACCATCCCCCCTGGGGGCTGACTTCTCGCTTTCTGTCTCTATGTCTCTCTCTCTGTCTGTCTGGCGAGCGCATGCGCCCTATAGCAAAAACCTCTCCAAAAAAAAAAAAAAAAAGATATTGATGATAAAAAAAAGACATCCCATAATTACTTATTTTACTCTCATTTCTGTTATTTAATGACTCACTCCCATTCCTTGTGGGTTTTTTTTTTGTTTGTTTGTTTGTTTGTTTGTTTTTTGGGTCCTGTTGGTTATCTGAAGCTCATTTTTTGGTAGATTCCTCTGAAAGGGCTCTGGATTCTTACATAAAAATAACAGTTGTACTCTTTATACTTGAAGGTCACATTTTTTTCTTTGAGTTTCTGTATGTTACTATGTTTTCTTAGTTTCTAACCTAGTGAGTGCATAGTTAGGAACTCCTTGGCTCACATTTCTTCTTGAACGTTACTCTGTTTTCTTCTGTCCTAAACTGTTGATGTTGAAAAGTGTGATAATCTAATTTTCTTGTTTTCATTAAAGTGTGCTCTTTTTGCTTAGATGCCAATAAGTTTTTATTTTTCTTTAAAGACCAATAATTTGACTAGTCTTTTCTAAAGTATGCTGTACACTTAGGTTATTTAAGTCTCAAGTCTTCCCTTCCCCCCCTAAGATTTTCTGGAATTACAGATCTCTATATTTGTTTGGTTTCCTTTCATTTTCTTCCTTCTTTAGGGACTTTTGTTATTCATTTATTGAGTGTTTGTCTATCTTTTTGTAACTTTGTTTCAACTCTTTATCCTTTTTATTGTGGAATAATGTATTTAACATAAAGTTTACCATTTTAACTATTTTTAAAGCAAATTTTTCTTTTGTATTTGTGATAGAACAGACATGCATGCATGTGAGAGAGCACTGCCCCTCTCCTCCAGAGGGTCTGATCATGCCGAAGTCCTCTTCCTACAGTCCTCTAGCCCACTGGACCTGGGCATTAGTGCCTGCATGTGGTGGGCCAAAAATTGACTAGACTGGGGACTCAAACTGCATTTGTTGTGTGGGATCCAGCTTCTCTTGAGCAGTTGCTGCACCACTGGGTTGGCCTTGTTTTAACCATTTTTAAGTGTACAGTTCTATACATCAAGTATATTCATTCACATTATCATATGACCATTACCACCATTCATTCCCATAACCCTTTTGTAAAACTGAAGCTCTCTACCCATTAAATACTAACACTTTATTTTTCACTCCCCCTCCAGTCCCTGGCAAACACTATGCTTTTTCACTATTTTTTTTTTTTGCATGGTGGGGAGAGAGCGTGAGAATGAGTGTATATGCTGGTGGGGCTTGTAAGAAGAGGAAGGAGAGAGGTATTTTTGATGGGTTTCTCTATTGCAGTCCTCTGCCTAACTTCCCAGTTGGCTTGAATTACAAGCATGCACCACTGTGCTGGACTGAGCCTCCCTTGTGGTCCACGTCTCATGCAGTGGCACCTTGCTGCTTGGACTACCATAGCTGGGCCCTGACTGTGGATTTGACTACTCTAGGTACCTCACACAAGTGAGATCATGCAATGTTTGGCTTACTTTAATTAGCATAATATTGTCAGAGGTTCATCCATGTTGTAGCATCTGTCAGTTTCTTTTCTTTTCAAGGCTAAATAATACTCTTGTATGTAAATATCCCATTTTGTTTGTTTGTTCGTTCATCAGTGGATACTAGGGTTGCTTTTGTCTTTTGGGTATTGTGAATGATACTGCTATGATTAGTGTACCAAATCTGTTTGAGTCTCTGCTTTAACCTCTTTTGCGTATACACCCAGATTGGAATTGCTGGACCATATGGTAGTTCTATGTTAATTTTTTGAGAAACTGTCATACTGTACTTTATAGCAGCTGCAACAGTTTACATTCCTACCAGCTATTCCAACGGGTTCCAGTTTCTCTACATCCTTGTCAGCACTTGTTATTTTCTGGGGGTTTTTTGTTTTTGTTTTTGTTTTTGATAGCCATCCCAGTGGGTGTGAAGTAGTAATAGATATGAATTCGTTGTATTTATTTATTCTTTCACTCCTTCTAGTTTAGTCTTTATTTTTAAAGTGATATTTTCTTTAGTTTTTTCCTTTTCAACTCCATGTTCCCCCGTTTGTAGTACATACCAGGCACAAGTTGGGGTGTGTATGGGGTACACTTACTTTACCCCATCTTTCAATACGGTGTGGTATGCTATCTTCTTCTCTCTCTCTCTCCATCTGTCTTACAAGTGCACATGCCCTCGGTAGGTTAAAAATACTTAAAAAGAACCTTTTTTTTCCAATACAGGTGTGTCAAACCATCCTATACTGAAGAACCATATAATAGGCACAGATACCGATAATTAGACTATAAAGCAGAATTTAACGAGTTTTAAAAACTACAACAAAATATCAGAGGTTAGAATTATAAATATGGTCAATATGGTATTTTATTTATTGGATATGCACTGTATGCCAGGCCTTGAGGCATGAACACCTCAGGGTGTTTATGAGGTGAATTTTTGGGTATTTATTCAATAATGACATTTTGGTATTTATTCAGTATTGAGATTTGTGGCATATCAGATGTGAAACTTTAAAATCATATAAATGTATGGCCTTAGGTAAATTATGCAGTCATAGCAATTTTATGTCGCTACTAGTGGTTGAGCTTCAGGCTGAAATGGTACAGCTATAGTGTTGCTGTTCTCTATAACTTGGAAAACCTAAGATTCTCAATTTTTGTGTGTGTGTGTGTGTGTGTGTGATATAATTTTGTAAGGAACTTCACAAAACACAAGTTGTAATAATGGCTATTTTGGCATAATTTCTATATTTCACACTATGGAAAATGTTTATTAGTTCATTGTAGCGTATAGAACTAGCTAGCATTTGTTTTGAGTGGATAGATTGGTTTATTTTAAAGTTAGCAGTTTTTGTTTTCCATTTGGAAGAATTTGTTACCTGAAGACATATAAAGATGATGGTATTAAGTATATTAATGATGGGATCTCTTCTTTGGCGAGTGTTTCTGGGAGGTGGTAGACGGTGATCAAGATTAGAATGGTAGAGAAATTCTTCCTCTTTCTGTTTTGCTTACTCTTAATACAGTGGACATACTAAAAACTTGAAATGCCTTTTCCCCCATTGAATATGGTGAACTATGTTTAAAAGCTATCATTAATGCTTTTCTATGATTATTCATTTCAAGCGGATTTTGGAGTATCAGCTAAAAATACCCGGACAATTCAAAGAAGAGACTCCTTTATTGGTACACCATATTGGTATGTATTCACTTTTATGAATTTATGGTATTAGTCATGTCAGCAGTTATTCTGACTCATTAATTTTTGTACACATAATTGATTATACTGGTTTAAAATTTTCTATCACTGTAAGTTAAAAAACTAAATTTTCTGTCACAAAACTTTGAATTTTCTGTCTTTATAGGATGGCTCCTGAAGTAGTCATGTGTGAAACATCTAAGGATAGACCCTATGACTACAAAGCTGACGTCTGGTCTCTGGGAATCACTTTAATAGAAATGGCTGAGATAGAACCACCTCATCATGAACTAAATCCAATGCGAGTACTGCTGAAAATAGCAAAATCAGAGCCCCCTACATTAGCACAGCCATCAAGATGGTAAAGTATTCTAAACAAAGCCTTTTCTTCTCTTTTTAAAAAATTTTCTGTACGGTGTATGTGTTCTTTGGAGAGAGAAAGAAAAAGCACTTCCCCAGGGAGATGACCACATCACAGACTCTTCCCTCCCTTTCTCCTGTCTGGATTTTAGATGCACGCACACACACACATACACACACACACACACTTACTCTCGCACACTCATCCAGTGTGTTTTTCAAGCTGCTTGGAACTTGTACCCACCTAGTTGGCCATGTGGGATCCAGCTGCCTTAACTACCACATAGGCCATCTAGCTGGCTCAACAAAGGTTTTGAAGAAGCAAAACTTGATGCTTTATTCTACTGTTCCAAAGGTATTTAAATTTGGTTACATGGTACACAGACTCTGAGTTAGAAAACTGATATGTGGTATATATGCAAGACTTGCTGAACATACACTTCTATATTTTCTCATACATTTCAGAATGTGAATGATTTGAATTCTGCGTGAAAACCATTTTTTTCTGTACTGTGAGAAAGTGAAGCATATGCATAGTTGATATATATTTCTGGAATTTCTTATAATAGAAGAATTTTTTGGTGATTTTCTCTTGTAATTCTGGCTATATTTCTTTCACTATCAATGAGGACTTCAAAAAGTTCGTGGAAAACAAGCATTATAAAAAAATTATGGATGGGTTTCAAAAAGTGTTCATACCAAAATAAACCTAGATTTTAGTCCATTTTTCTACATACTTTTTGAAGTTCCTTCATATGTACCTACCTACGTATATGTCTAATGTGTATTTACAGATGAATAAGCTTTATAAAAATGTTAATTGTTTTAGCTAGTTGAGTTAATGCTATTACATATTTAATGAAACTTAAGCATAATTTATTAAGGAGTTTGAGTTTAGTAACAAGAAAGTAAAATAAATGAATGTCATTGTTAAAATTTTATTTTGAAGGTCTTCAAATTTTAAGGACTTTCTAAAGAAATGCTTAGAAAAGAATGTGGATGCCAGATGGAATACATCTCAACTACTACAGGTGAGATAAGACTAATTGGAAAACACCAAATCATACAATTGCTTTAACATTTCTATCAGAATACGATTTCAGATTCACTCATCTTACTCTCTTTCCACTTGAGTTTCTTTGGGGAGAGTCAAAATGTGTGGTAATAATTAACATTTGCTTTGCAGACATGTCGCCATTACTAATAGGCAGTTAAGTTTTTTTGGTCATTCCTTTTGTACTTTTTCTATTCAGTCTAGTTATGTACTTTTCATTTGGTAAATAATTTCCAGATGGGAGCTGACATGGTGGTTAAGGCTGACCACAGTTCAAGCCTCAGACCTGGCGGCTTATAAAATCACACTGTGTGTGAGTGTACGTGTGCACACACGTGCATGTGTGCCCAAAATCTTGAGAGGAGACTGGAGAAGGGATTGTGGTGTGGCCATCCCACCTAGGGGTGATTTCTCACCCTCACTCTGTCTCTTTCTGTCTGTCTCTGGTGAGCACATGCACCCTGGGGCCAAACTTAAACAAACCAACAATAATTTCCATCTGTCTCTTCAGGTACTCAATTGTAAGCAACTAGGGGGAGGGGAGGGGCCATGAACCCTTTTTTTTTTAATGTCTCTTATGGTAAGAATAAGTGTTCAGTAAATATTGTTGAATTTTAAAAAGTGGTATTAAAGGATTGGATAAATCTCATTTTGTTTTGCAGCAGAAATTGTGTATAATATTTGATATAAAATTTGTCAAATAATATAGGTGGACATATAACATGACAAATCTTGAGGTAATTACTATTAGGTTGAATTATGTAATTCCTATATTATAGTGTTTTAGGTTCATTGATTTAGGGTAAAATGCAGGAAAAATTACCTTGTTGTATGCAACAAATACATCCCAAACACATTTTATATTGTTATTTCACTACCCCATATTTGAGACCTTTAGACTATCACAGACACCATTAAGTGTTGAATTTACAGAGATAACTGAAAAGATTTTTACTCTCAAGAATATTAGAAACATCCCACACACAAAAAAACTCAGCACGTGTTTGTAGACACTTTGAACAGAGCTCTAAAGCTTTTTGATATTTTTTTAAATTGAGGCTTTGATAGGATTTATATAAATTGTTTTACTTTTTGAGAACTAATAATATATTGACTTGAAACGTCTTTAAATATTAATTAAAATTTTTTAAAAGAATTATTTGATTTAACTTTATCCATTTATTTATTTATTTTAATTTGACTAGAGAGGGACAGAGTGAGAGAGAGAAAGTGAGAAAGCAAGTTGCCAGGTCCCTTAACCACCAGCCCCCAATTTAATTTTTTTATTATGAAATTTTCAAATATACAGAAAAGTACATATACCTACTACTGAAATATGACAAGTCTTAATTCATTTTTGACAAAATTGCTTCAGATTTTTATTCTTAAAAATAATGTGCAGATCCAGTGGCAGCCAGCCTCTATTTTTGCTTAATCTCCTCCTCTCCTTTTCAGATATAACATTATCTGAAGTTGTTTGTATTTTTCCTGACTTAAGTGTTTATATTTTTAGCATATAAGAACGTGTGTTTTGGGACCAGCAGTTAGCGTAATGGCTATGTCGCTGAACTCCCATGTAGTCTACCATGGTTCGAGTCCCTGACCTGGTGGCTTAAACTCACGCTGGGCGCATGTGTGTGCGTGCCCAAGATCCCGAGAGGAGAATGGAGGAGAAGGGATTGCGGCGTGGCCATTCCCCCTGGGTGGTGATTTCTCACTTTCTGTCTCTCTGTCTCTCTCTGTCTTTCTGGCAAGCGCACATGCCCTGTAGCAAAAACCTCTCCAAAAAAAAAGAAGAACGTGTGTTTTATGTGTTTGGAACTTATTTTACAAGCAAGTATTTCAGTGTGTTGAGTGTGCTCTTTTTAATGATCAACAGCATCCCTTTGTTACTGTTGATTCCAACAAACCAATTCGAGAACTGATTGCAGAAGCAAAGGCTGAAGTAACAGAAGAAGTCGAAGATGGCAAAGAGGAAGATGATGATGAGGAAACAGAAAATTCTCTGGTCAGTAGTTAGAAAGGAAATTTGATTTAGTTAATTTTTAAAGCTGAGTTTTGAGGTGTGGTTGCACCCATATCTAAGGATTAATTAATGGGTGGCAGTATAAAACCTTTAACTTTGGAGGTGAAGTTAGCAGCAAGGTTGTTCTTTGTTACCTATTTTTGTCATACTTAAGAGTAGAATTTTGTGTGTGCATGCACACACAAACATTACTTTGGTTACCATCTCGAGATCATGTTTTAATATAAACTTAATAACTTTACTTATTTTTTTTTTAGCCAATACCTGCAAGTAAGCGTGCTTCTTCAGACCTTAGTATTGCCAGCTCTGAAGAAGATAAACTTTCACAAAATGCTTGTATTTTGGAATCTGTCTCAGAAAAAAGAAAACGCAGTACCTCCGAAGATAAATTAAACAACAAAATGCTTAATGAAAAACCTACCCCTGATGAACCTGAAAAAGCTATGGAGGAGGGTATTAATGATGCTCATTTAGAAACTGTGACTGAACTTCATAAAGGAACAATAGTAATCAAGGAGAATGGGAGAGAGGAGAGGAGATCAGAACTTGAAAATCTTTCTGACACAGAGCGCCAAGAAACTATGGACATTAATTCAGTCAGGGAAGGAAAAGAGAGTAACATAATAACTTCAGAAACAAATATTGAGCATGAGCTGAAACTTGAGGAAGAAGGAGATCAGGAGAAACCACAGACACTTGAAAATAAACTTATAAAATCTGAAGAAATGAATGATACTACTGTTCAAACAGTGGATTTAGTTTCTCAAGAGACTGGAGAAAAAGAGACTGATATTCAAGCAATTGACAATGAAGTTGGGCTTACAAAAGAAGACACTCCAGAGAAATTAGAAAAAGACGACAAAACTCAGAAAGATGTGATCATTGATGCAAGCGATGTGGGAGTAACACGTGAGGGAGGAGATACTGCTCAGAAAGCAGCCGAGAACAGTGCTGAGGATGCTCATACCGATGAAGGGGAAGAAATGGGTGAAGTAGGCCAGACATTAATCAGTAAGGCCGCAGAAGCTCCTGAGAGTGGTAATAGTGAGGAAGTTCCTAATAAAGAAATAATTGAAACCAATGAAATAGATCAGAAATCTGTAGAAGGTAAAAGTGAAGAACAATTAATCAGTGGCTCAGAAACCGTGTTGGAGACCATCGAGGAACCAGGGATAAATGAAGTTGCAGAAATGACTGAGTCAAGCAGTGCTGAAGAAATCGAAGACAGAAGGGCAGTGATTGATACAGACCAAAAGGTTTCAGAAAACGAAACTCAGGATACTCATAAAGCCACTATACAGGTAGACACAGAGAAAAAAGAAATTCCATGTGAGGTACCAGTTAAAGCAGAACCTCAAGTGATTGCAGCTTCACAGCCCAGTGAACCTCAACCTGTTCCAATACCCAGTATTAATATCAACACTGAAGATGCAGAAGATAAAGGGGAAGTAGGTGTTTTATCAAAAACTGAAACTGTGCTGCTTCCAGAATCTGAGAATCAGAAGGAAAATGATACTGATTCAGGCACTGGTTCTACTGCTGACAATAGCAGCATTGACTTGAATTTATCCATCTCTAGCTTCCTCAGTAAAACTAAAGACAGTGGATCAATATCTTTACAGGTAAGTGTAGACAGGTCCCTGTTTGACTTTTTTCTTTGTCATTTTGCTAGCTTACAGTTTATATGAAACCGATGTATTGAAAATAAAAGAGAATTAAATCAATGTAGTGTGAACCTTGTAAGTTCTCTTGAAGGTGGTCAATTAAAAAGGACCAAGTAGAGAGATTCTGGATATAGTTTTCTTTGAGTTTTGCAAACCTGATGGAGATAAACAGTACAATATAATTGCTTAGTGTGGTTTAGATTCTTTTATTGCATATATATAGTTGCAATTTTAGCAAGAATCACTTATATTTGTTATGAAAGAACTGAGAAATTGAAGGAATGATTTTGTAAACAATTCTTGATTTTCCACTGACTCCTACAGAGGACTACACTTGCTTCTTTAGTCATAGCCATTGCTACTGTCATGAGAACCATATGGGGAAAACAAAACCAGAAACTAAAATCAGAACACTTGGAGCTTCTCAAACATAATTCATCCTACGTAGATCAGCCTCACAGAACACCACCTTTTACTGTACCATTGTGTGGTCCCTAGGTCTGATTGTTGAAACATGCCAACTTTAGGTTTTAGAGGAAGTCTGGATGGACTACTGTATGCCAGGGTATAGGCAGAGGAGCAAGAGTAGAGTGAAATCCCAGAGAATAGAATGGGAGGTTGCAGAAAGATAATTGAAGGATTCTAGAGACAGACTTTTTAGTATTCTAATACATTTTTAAAATTAATTTCATTATATGATTTTTTTATTCACATTTAGTCTTTGTACATCTTGATAGCATATGACTTGGTTTTTCAACGCATGCATGCAGTGCATGTCAACTAAGAACTTACTTGAAGCTTTAATTTCTGTGTATATACATGCATATGTATGTAGAAATACAATTCTACATAAATGCATGCTGTATAACTTGATGCAACATTTTATTATTTTTTTTTTAGTAATTATTTCTTGTATTTTATTTATCATTATTGTTATTTTTAATTTGACCATAACAAGACATACACACAGAGAGAGAGAGAGAGAGAGAGAGAGAGAGAGAGAGAGAGAAAGAGAAAGCAAGAAAGCGAGCAAGCAAGCCGCCAGGTGTGGGACTCAAACCTTGGTCAACCATGTGGGAGTCCAGCACCTTTAACCACCATACCACCTGCCAGTCCCCCAAACATTTAAAAAAGAATGGAGCAAACCTGTGCTTTCTAGTGTTTGTGGTGGTGGCCATTCTATTATACAAGGACCTTTGGTAGAAATTGATTTTTTTCTTATTTTTAAAAACTTATTTACATTTCTTTTATACATTTAATCAATACAGCTTATAAAGTGAGGTTACTCAACATGAATACACTTCATAAATGCATTTTGAATTGTTTCACATTTCACTAGTGCTCCCTCTATTTTCTAACCCCTTCCTTTATATCGAAACCAAATAATTATCTGCTCTCAACACTTGGTTTGACACTTAGTACAACCAAAATGTACTTGTGGGATTAGTATATTTCTTTTACTTATATTTGCATTTAAATGTTTTTGTGTGCTATTGAGAGTTTAGTCTTTTTTTTTTTTTAAGAATTATTTTATTAAACTTCATTTATTTTAAATTGGCCAGTTTGGGGGAGGGGGAATGAGGAAGCAAGCCACCAGGTCTGGGACTCGAACTGCAGTCAGCCAGTGGGAGTCTAGCACTTTTAACCACCATGCCACCTGCCAGCCCCAAGTTTAGTCTTCATAAGGGATTTTAGGCAATAGCTAGTAGGTTGATTTGGTACTGTTGAGGTACAGTAGAGGTACTTTCTAGTAACTCTAAAATCACATATCTAGGTCTGGCTCTGAGATGAGGAAGACTGTTGATATTGTTACTGATTAAATAGATTTTGATTCCCAATCCTGGCAGTGCTTAAAAAATACCTGAGAACCTTCTTAAGCAGATTCTCAGCCTCCATTAGACCTATTGATTTATTGGAAATTCCTTAAGGGAATTCATTTTCAAGTATTTTATTGGTGGAAAGCAGAGGTATCCGAGAACTTACAAAGTGAAAATTAAAAGAAAAAGTGGTTTACATGATAAAAGTTACACTAATTAGTCATTTATGTTAATTGCTAATTATCATTTGTGCCTAACTGTGATATAATATCATATGAACTATATGTGCAGATCATCAAAATGCATAATTTCACTTGCAAGAAAATTTGATTCTAGTTGTAGAGTTGTGCATAAATCCGATGAGGCTTAAGGTGACGTACCTGGTTCCACAGATGAGTCTCACTGCTTTCCGTTCATACTTTATCGTCTCCAGAGTCTTCATGACTATTCAGTTTTTGTTTTTGTTTTTGTTTTTAAAAAGAAGAAAAATGTTTTCTAGCTCGAGTATTTCTATAAAAAGCCTAACTAAAATGTTTCCTCCCTTAGGAAACAAGAAGACAAAAGAAAACATTGAAGAAAACTCGCAAATTTATTGTCGATGGTGTAGAAGTAAGTGTAACAACATCAAAGATAGTTACAGATAGTGATTCCAAAACCGAAGAACTGAGGTTTCTTAGGTGAGTAGAGAAATAATTAAAATTGGTTTGTGACTTCTCTATTTCTGCAAGGTCTGAAAAATAAAACAGCTAAATATTGGCTAATTGAGGGATTATTATTTTATAATTTTTCCATTTGAAAAAAATTTTTAATCCTTTTTGTGTGTTACTTTGAAGCTATCATTTTTGCTGTCTTCGTTTCTGTCATTTAACTACTGAACGTTAAATTTTATCAGACGTCAGGAACTTCGGGAATTAAGATTTCTTCAAAAGGAAGAGCAAAGAGCCCAGCAACAGCTCAACAGCAAACTGCAGCAACAACGAGAACAAATTTTCAGGCGCTTTGAGCAAGAAATGATGGTAAAGTCTTAGATTTTTGTACTATTTTATTAATAATGAAATTTAGTGCTTAAAACCCACCTGCAGGTTTTGGAACTTATTCTCTGATTACTAGATTTTCCTTGTTTTGTGATGTATTTCTGGCTTTTATCTCTTTGGTGGTCTGGAAGCTTTTTTTTTTTTTTTTTTTTTGAGAGGTTTTCACGATAGGGCGCGTGCGCTCGCCAGACAGACAGAGAGAGGCATAGAGACAGAAAGTGAGAAATCACCCCCCCAGGGGGATGGTCACGCTGCAGTCCCTTCTCCTCCATTCTCCTCTCGGGATCTTGGGCACGCACGCACACGCACCCGGTGTGAGTTTTAAGCCACAGGGTCCAGGACGTGAATCGTGGTCGACTATGTGGGAGTCCAGTGACATAGCCATTACGCTAACTGCTGGTTCCCTGGATGCTTTTTATTCCCTTTTTTTAAAATAATTTTTTAAAGGCTCTTGTATCCTAGTCTTGTGTTCACTGATTCATGGTGTGATAATTGTCATTTTTTTCTCTGATTATAATCTGTCATGAAAAGTTAGAATCATGAGGCTTGTAGATGGTTTACAAAGTTCTTAGATGTGCATGTTGCTGAATGTTTTTTTTTCTTTTTTATCTTTATTTTATTTATTTATTTTATTTTCTTCTTTCATTTATTTATTTTTACATTTTTCCACAAACATTTACTTTACATAGCAAAAAATTTTGCTGAATGATTTTTTAGTGTTCTAATTTGACTTTTTGGGGACCAGTAGTTAGTATAATGGCTATGTTGCTGAGCTCCCATGTAGCCAACCACAGTTAGAGTCCTGGACCTGGTGGCTTAAACTCATGCCGGACCACGTGTGTGTGTGTGTGTGTGTGCCCAAGATCACGAGAGGAGAGTGGAGGAGAAGGGATTGTGGCAATGCTATCCCCCCTGGGGGGTGATTTTTGGCTTTTTATTTCTCTGTCTCTGTCTTTCGAGCGAGCACATGTGCCCTATAGCAAAAAAAAAAAACCCAAAAAACAACAAAAAAAACTCTCTAATTTGACCTTTTGGGTTAAAATCTTGGATTTTTAAAAATCCAAGATTTATTTATTTTTATTTTTTTATTTCAGTTTACTTATTTGCATTTATTCACTGTACATCATTACAGCATACAAAATGAGATTTTTCCATCCAGAGTACACTGCATTTGTCTCAGTTAAGCACATCAACAAACATGTTGTCAGCAAATAATCTTCCATTTCTTGTTTTCTGTATGTTTTGCTTCCCCCCATCCTTGATTCCCTCTTACCCTCTGCCATCTCCCACTCTCAAGAAAATCCAAGATTTTTTTAAAGAGTTATTTATTTAATGTAATTTATTATTATTTTAAAATTTGCAGTGGAGCATGTGTGTATGAGTGAGAGAGAGAGAGAGAGAGAGATAGGGAGAGAAGAGAAAAGAAGAAAAGAGAAGAGAAGAGAGAGAAGAAAGAGAAGGAAAGTAAGAAAGCAAGCTGCCAGGTCTGGGACTCAAACCATGGTCAACCATATGGGAGTCCAGCACCTTAACCACCTCGCCATCTGTTGGCCCAGATTCCCAATATTTTAAGCTAGTTTAAGCAATTGTCTTGAAATCTGAGCTAAGTATTAGAACCTCTTTTGTTGTTGTCGTTTGATTTTTTTAAATAGGCTTTCTTGTTTGGCTCCTGTAGTTATGCCTCCATGTCTCTATTCACTACTGCTAGAGAAAAAAAGTACTGCTTAGTTAGGATTGTCTTTCAGTCCTTTAGTTTCTACCTTGTGTCCAGAATTGAAAAAGAAATTCGTAACGTGATACAAAATTTTCAGAACTTACGTTGAACATATAGCTTAATGTAGGTTAGTTAAAAAAAGATAAATTTGAGATGTTATAGTATTTGTGTTTTTAATGTAATCCCTTTTCTGTCTTGTAATTTTTTTAACAATTATTTTATTTAACTTTATTTATTTAATTTATTTTAATTTAACCAGAGAGAGACAGAGTGAGAGACAGAGAGAGAGAGAGAGAGAGAGGGAGGGAGGGAAAGTGAGAAAGAAAGCCACCAGGTCTGGGACTCAAACCACAGTCAGCCATGTCGTCCAGCACCCTTAACCACCACGCCACCTGCTGGCCCACTGTCTTGTAATGTTAAGTGGTAAGGATTGTTTTGTGTGAGGTGTGGCATTGTTGATTTCAAGTGTTAAATCATAATCGATAATTACTAAGAAAGTAATGAAATATTGTTCTCATTGAATATTTTAATAGTACTTCTACTTTTTAGAAATATATGCAAACTGTGTTTCTGGGTGGGTGAGCCCTGGGCCGGGTCCCCCTGCCTCATGCTTTGGAGAACCTCAGCCAGCTCATATGCCGTGTACCACCCCGCCCCATACTTGATAAACCCAGTCCATCCAAGAGATGTTAGCCAGTACACTATCTCTGCTCACAGCACTAACAGAAACAAAGCCTCATGTTTCTTCTGTCCTCTTCTCCAAATACATTTTGCATGATATTTTGCTTCTTTATTTCTTTTAAAAACATCCTTTATAAATTCTTAACTATACATCTTAAATTTCATTATTATTTAAATGTTACATAAGTAGGAGTCTTTTTGTTGAAAGAGCAGATTTATAATTCTAAGATTTGTTTCAATAGAAGAAGTTTATTTTAAGAATCTTGGGGAGGAAGAGTAAATCTGAAAATGACAGGTAATGTTACATGATTAAGATGACTTAAAATGAGCCCTTGGATTTATCAAACATTGTATTAGATAAATATTGGCATTTTAGGACCTCACAGCAACTGTGTATTGTTTTAGATTTTATAAATTTTTTTTAACATTCTACTACTTGTATAATACATAGAAGTGAAAGTGTATTTCTTTTTAGAAAAAAATGAGCTGTTCATCTTTCTGAAAAATTTCTTAATGTAAGTGCATTTGACTTGTTCAGTTTTGGAAAGGTTCTATGACATCACTAAATATAAATGCTGGTTACGTACTCTCAATAACCATTTTCACTATAATGAATTAATATGAGAGATAGAAAAATTTTTATGATCTTAAACTACATTGTTTTACAGAGTAAAAAGCGACAGTATGACCAGGAAATTGAGAATCTAGAAAAACAGCAGAAACAGACTATTGAACGTCTTGAACAAGAACATACAAATCGCTTGCGAGATGAAGCCAAACGCATCAAAGGAGAACAAGAGAAAGAGCTGTCCAAATTTCAGAATATGCTAAAGAACCGAAAGAAGGAGGTAACTATTGTTTTTAATTACTAAGGCTGTCCTGTTAAGTGTAAATTTAAGTTTATTTAAGGAATAATACTTGTTAGTTAAATAGTACTAATTTCTTTTTTTTTTTTGAGAGGTTTTTGCTATAGGGCACGTGCTCGCGCCAGAAAGACAGAGAGACAGGGAGATAGAAAGCGAGAAATCACCCCCTAGGGGGGATGGCCACACCGCAGTCCCTTCCCCTCTATTCTCCTCTTGGGCACGCACACACACGCGCCAGGAATGAGTTTAAGCCACCGGGTTCGGGACTCGATCTGCAGTTGGCTACATGGAAGTCCAGCGACATAGCCATCACGTTAACTACTGGTCCCACTAATTTATTCTTTCATTTGGTCTTCCCGAGAGTACTGTAACTTATTAGCAAGGTCAGGTGTTATCTCCACTTTATTGCCCAGAAAACTGGTGTGATAGGAATTCATGTCCTGTGTTAAGCTAAACATTCAACCAAATTAAAATTAGCCTAATCCACATTCAGTCTACCATTCCTCTTTTAACTTTTGAAGTCTTACATAGAAATTTCCTTTTAATGAAACTTAGTTGTGTTTGCCAGTGGCAGCAATAATTCCTTTTATTATTATCAATTATTTGTCATCCTTAATTTGTACTTTTAACAAATATTTTCTCAATTTAGCTTTATTGACTTTTTTAGATATAGTGCCAAACAAAGGTTAGATAACTTGAAATTTGAATTATCTGTAAACTTATCAAGTTTTGAAGTATTTTAAAGAATCAAAAGTGGAATATATCTGTAAAGTAATTTGATAAGAATGAGTTTTTAAATTTTTCCTGGAACTGCCATATTGTTGTAAAATCTCTCTGCATTATTATTTACTCTGAAAGATTGTCAGTGATTCAGAAGGAGGATTTACATGGTGTATGTCTTTTTGTCTCCAGGTTAAAATGATATTAAGGGAACATTACATGTAATTTTCAGAGATAATTTAATGGTTTATTTTGTATCTTTAGTGTAGGAGGACTGACCTTTTCATGACGTAAAAGAACCCAGGGACAATAATTATTACCAATTCTATTAAGACTGGAACAACAACAAAAAAATCTCAAAACTAAATACAAATGCGTTTTCACTTTTATTCAAACACCCAGATTCATTGACTTTAACATTTAAATTAGAAGAAAACCGAACATCATATGACTGAATCTTTAGGGTGTGCTTTAAAAACAATAGGGTTGAATAATAATAAATACATTGTGCTCTTTGGTTTCTTTTGGTCAAGATGAATGAAATGGTATGTAATTTGATTTGATGCAGCTACCAATTCTAAAAATTAGTACCATTACAGTTTATTATATTGCTCTATATATCATGATTACTGGGGCTACATGTTAATTTTCTTAAAACTGTGGTAGTTTTTATTGAGAAGTTATTCTTTGTATCATATTAAATTTTAAAGATTTACAAGTAAACATATGATTTAATCATAGATATTTAAAAGGCCATTGTTATTGTTTCTATTTTGGAATAGGAGAGTTTAGTCAGTTGAACATGTCTGAGATCCTAATATGTATATTTTAAATAATTATGTATTTTTTTTCCTTACTGCTAAACTTCTTGCACTTGGGGAGTCTCTTCTTTTTAATGGTGATTTGGTTTCATGAGGGAGTACTGATGGGAAATTTTAAATATACTTTGTTTAATCAAAACCCGTCTTTTTCACGTACCGTCAATAGCATGTGGTGATTCGGAATCTGGTTTCTTTTGGTGCTTTTACTTGTAGACACATGATTGTTTTTCATAGTTGGATTACTGATCTGCTGCTAGATGGATCACACACATCTAGGATTTTGAGATAATTAAAAAGAACAAGCTGTAAAAAATACCTCATTTTATACTTTATTAGGTAATCATAGCTTACTAAAATTATCTTAAGTGTGCTTATTTTACTAATTTTAAAGTTGTCAAGCTTGGCTTAAATTGTCAGCAGAGGAGAATGTTACTCTAATCCTGTACAAAATCATCAGATAATTCATTTTTATCACACCATGTATAAAACCTGGTGTGTTTTAGGAAAAAAAAAACCCAAAAACTTAGTATCCATTTATTTCTCCTTTGTGTATTCTAAGGCTTGTTTTTCTTTTTCCTTTTTTTGGGTCTCATTAAGTGGATTTGTTTTAGACTTACTTCTTTAATATTATCAAGCCAATTATGAAATTTTGCACTTAATTTTTTTTTTTTTAGGAGTGTTTGCCTTAGGGCTCATGCACTCTGTGGAGAGAGAGAGGGAGACAGTTGGAGGGGATGTGAGAAATAACCTCCTGGGGGGATGGCCATGCCTCAATCCCTTCTCCATTCTCCTCCCGGAATCTTGGGCATGCATACACGTGCACCCAGTATAATTTTGAAGCCATCAGGTCCAGGACTCAAAACCATGATTGGCCACGTGGGAATTCAGTGACGTTACTGCTGTGCCACCTGCTGGTCCTGAAATTTTGTACTTTTACAAAGGGCATATAGTTTTCCTTAGGTTCAGTATTTCAAACAATGTCAATAGATGTGTTTGTAATTTTATGATCTTTTAAGAACAGTTGAGTTTTTCACCTTTAGCATCAGGTGATCCTTCACTGATTATCTTTGCATCTTAAAGAAAGAAATGGTATGTAGGGATAATTAATCAACTAATTAATCTCTTTATGGTGTATTATCCCTTTCTGCACTGAGATTATGCATGGTCTGTCCTTTCATTCTTTTCCATCAAACTAACACCTGTGCTTATGCATGTTGAAGGGAACTTTTTAACAACTTTAATGTTTGACTTGTAGCTTGTCTGCTCACATAAATGCTTGCTGTGGAGAAAGTATTATTTCCCCACCTCCTGCATGCTTATACACTGTAGGTTATAAATGAAGTGGAGAAAGCACCCAAAGAGCTGAGAAAAGAGCTCATGAAACGCAGGAAAGAGGAGCTTGCACAAAGCCAGCATGCTCAGGTAACAGCAGCAGCTTACTGCTACTAAAAACAGAAAGCAGCGTTTCTCACAGCTCAGTAAACCATGGCTGGAAGGATAAACTAACTAATTATTGTGTGATGCTGATGTCTCCCCACCTGGAGATTCCAGGGTCGTCTTTCTATAGTGTTAAGTTCACGCTAATGGTGACATTCAAGTTTCTAATACGAAATTAAGTGGAATGTTTGGAAAATTGACTCCAGATGAATTAAACAAGTATGTTCAATATATAACCCACTGTTATCTAATTGTAATCATGATGGGAGCTTATATTTTTAAGTAGTAATGGCAATGTTTGATAGATAACGTCTAGGATAGACAGATAGAGCATGAATGTGTATGCTATGTGTTTACAAAAAGAAAGCCTATTAAAAGGCTTTTATCTATCTATCTATTTTTATCTACCTATTTATTTGTCAGAGAATGTGTGTGCTTGCCAGAGAGAGGAGCACCCCCCGATGGGTCATAGTCACTCCACAGTCTTCTCCTTTCCTCTGTCTTATCAGGATTTTAAGCATGCACATGCACAGTACCCAGTGTGTTTTTCAAGACAGTGGGTTTTGAATTGTGGTCACCACGTGGGATTTAGCTCCCTTAGCCACTGAGCCAAAAAGCTTTTATTTACTTATTTAAATTCGCTACAGAGTACATACACTCATAGGAGAGAGACAGTGAGAGAGAGGGAAAGTGACAAAGCATCCCCAGCGGGGATGGCCATGCACGTACAGGTGCACAGGTGTGTTTTAAAAGCTACAGGTCTGGATTTGAACTGCACACGTGGCTATGTGGGATCCAGCCATCTTATCCACTATGCCACCGACTGGCTTAGGCTTTTATTTTTGTAATGCTTAAAGTTAAAAGAAAAAAGTAATATAAATTGGTAGATCAAGCATTTATTATATTTTAAAGTCACCACCATAAATGGTGACTTTCAAACCAGACTTTAAATATTAAATATGGTATTTTCCGTTTTGAATTCAGCAGTTGAGTGAACAGACTGTTTTTACTTACACAGTTACATAAAGACACTTGATTCTAGGTTACGATAAAACTGAACCTTATAAGATAGGTGAATTCTTTACAAAACTAGATACATTAGTATATGTTTTTGGAGAGGCTTATGCTGTAAGATGTGTGCGCTCACAAGAAAGACAGAGAGAGAGAGACAGACAGAAAGTGAGAAATCACCCCTTATGGGGGATGGCCACGTTGCAATCCCCTCTCCTCCGTTCTCCTCTCAGGATCTTGGGCTCACATGTACATGCACCTGGCATGAGTTTAAGCCACTGGGTCCAGAACTTGAACAGCAGGCGACTGCGTGGGAGTCCAGCGACATAACCATTATGCCATCCACTGGTCCTGATAAATTAGTATTTTTAGCAAAATTTTCTGGAATTATCTTATATGACTTTAGAAGGTTTTTTTATACTAAGAAAGGTGAATTTTAAAATTAAGTTTGTATTCAGTGTGAAGGCAAAGATGAAAAATGAGTTCAATTTCTAGTTACGTAAGTCAGTGAAAGGAAGAAAAGACAAATTATCTATTAATTGTTGCTTTGAATGATCTCTTTAATATAGTTTTATGTGATTTTAAAAGTGGTTCCCAGACTGTTTTTTTTTTTTTTAAGCTTGGCTATTGATTTCTTCTGAGAGAGAGAGACCCTAACAGGGTCTTCACGCTGTAATCCACCCCAGCCTCAGCCAGCCTGGATCACAGACACAGCGTGCACGTGTCTGCTTTGTACAGGCAGACTCTGGGAAGTAAACTGAGCATTCCTCCCTGGGGCCTAGTGTTGTGGAGCTCTGTGTTTCTGCTGGGCCGCTGCACTTGACCCAGACTTTGGGTGTTACAGGTCCGTGATGAGAAACAGAAACAGCAAAAACCACTGCGTGTCATGGCTTGGAATACCTTTTATTTATTTTTTGCCAGAAAGGTTGTTTTAAAACTGCCATTTATTTATTTATTTATTTGTAACCATCATTTTGAAGAAGAGAGTATTTTTAGTGCCGTGAAAAGTAAGGAAAATATAATAGTCTTGGGATTCAAAATTTTGATGAAGCTATTTGAAGAAATTTAGGTTTTTTTCCTTCTTGCCATGAGTCAATAAAACATTTTATCTGGGCCTGCTGTAGGGATTACTACAATAGTTTAAGGTGATAATAGCAAACACAGCATTGCGTTAAGTGCCAAGCACTATTCTAAATGAGTTCATTTAATCTCTCACAGATATTACCCCCATTTTAGAAGTAGGGAAACTAAAGTACAGGGAGTTGAATGGCTGTCCCAGGGTTACAAGTCTGGTTAGGGGGACTAGAGTTCTCACCCAGCCAAGTTCAGCTCCCTGTTTCATAAACTGAACCACCACAGCACACCGCCTCTCCTTTAAGCTCCCACTCGGAGCCTCATCTAAACTCTTAGCTGCTTATCAGTGGCCCCTGTTGTTGGCCACTTGTCAGCAAGTGAAAGGATAGTCTTTGCTGATCACTCATATGCTTTTGGTTCATTTGCATTTCAGAGCAGATAATGATATGGTTTTGCCTTATAAAAGGATAGATTTTTTTAAATTCCAAAGGTAATATATCAATCCTTAGAGTTGAAATTGAGAATTTAGTGTGTTGAACAAAAAAATTAGATAGCTTTAATTCTTTAATAAGACTTTGTTGGTGGTTTTTCCTTATGATTATGGGGTCCAGCTTCCATCTGAAACTGAAAATAGTAGTAAAGTCTGTAATTTAATGACCGATCTAGTCCTCTAACGTATTTCAAAAGTATTTATTTAGTGTACCGCTTTTGATGAAGGTGCAAAAACCTGATAACTTTATATATAGATTCTATTTTAAACTTTTTAAAAGGGATTCATTAATAGCCATGCAGTCATAGAGCTAGAGTGTATTTGATCAGCTATCTTAGACCAGTGGTTTTCAAACTGTATTCCCAGGAGCTCTTGAGTTTGGAAGAAATCCCTCTGAGGATTGTTTAAAAAGTTGAGACTGTGGAGCTGTAGGCAGCTGCTGCTACTTTAAGTAAAGCAGAACCATTGTTTTGTTTGTTTCATAAGCCAAGATTCTTTTGGTGAGTTTTCATTACTATTTTCAAGAATTTTGCCATAGAGCAGGTGTGCTGCCTGGAAAGAAACAGCGAGTGACAGAAAGTGAGAAATTATACCCTGAGGAGGATGGCCACACTGGAATCCCTTCTCCATTCTCCTCAGGATTTTCAAGATGCCAAGTTGGGAGCTCGAACCACAGTCATCACTGGGGAGTCTAGCATCTTAACCACCACGCCACCTGCTGGCCTCAAGTTTTTATTAATTTAATATATATATATATTTTTTTTACCATAGGGCTGTGTGCTCTCCTGAGATAGAGACAAAGAAAGCTAGTGAGAAATCCCCTAGGAGGGATGGCCATGCCATAATCCCTTCTCTAGTTTCCTCCTGGGATTTTGGGCATGTGTACACATGCACCTGGCATGATTCAAGCTTCCAGGTTTGAATCAAGCTCCCATGTGGGAGTCCAGCAAATACACCACCTGCTGGCCCTTCTTTTGGTGGATTTTTAAAAAGGGCGTTCTACTGGTTTAAGAAATAACATCAACACACTAGAGTTTGGAAACCACGGATCTATAGTTCAGATCCTTCATTCTGCAGATGAGAAAAGTTCCTCTGTTAATTGATTTGCTCCAGGCTTCAAGAAACTCATCTTTTTTCTAATTATTGTTTCCTTTTACAAAAAGTCATTCATATATATTCTCATCTGGGAGGTGCATTGTATTCTGATCCACAGGGTGTTGCTCAGGTCATGATTCAGTCTTTTCAGTTGTCATCCTGTGCAGTCTTCAACGCCCAAATGCAGGACGTAAGTCCCACATGCCTGTAGAGGGTGCTTTCTCCTGTTTTACCTGCTCTTTCCTTAACTCACATGTGCCTTTTCATTGCTGACTTCATTTGTTAATATCTAAAAGATTGATGGTAATGTCAGAGTGACAATAATAATAATACCCTGACAAAAACTTTATAGTACAGTATTCTTCAGAGAGTTTTTGTACTTTATTCTCACTGCCACCACCCTAATCCGGGGGCAGAGTATATCCATTTCACAGATGAAGCAATTAAGAACCAGAGACTTAAGCGATCTGCCTAAACTCACATAAGAGGTTAATGGTAGAGCTGGAACTAGAGCACTTTCATAGTGTTCTTTTTTCTCTCTACCCCATCACAAATTTTAATTCGAGATTTCCTTTTTTTATTTCAATAGAAATAAAATATCTTAATAGTATTTTACAAGCTTTGCACATGTGAGACATTGAATGCTGTGGTAAGATTTTTATTTTTGTGTGAAGTGGTATTTTGATTGCATCTACGTTTATGTAGATGTTTTAATTATGGATATGGTCAGAAAAGCCATGTTAAAAGTGGTGATTTTAGTCTTATTTTAGTTTCCATGTATTCAAATAGTCAATAATAAATAATGAGCTGCTGTTTTTTTAAACTGTAGTTTTAAATTAAGTCTGGAATTCTAGGCCGTATTCATTCTCAGTTTCCATAGGGAAATGACTAGTTTATTTAACAGTATAATTTTTGTTTTTGGTATTTGATATATACAACTGGAATAGATAGAATACAGCTTGATTTCAATCCCTCCTTTCCCCTCTCTTGAAATTAGACTTAAAAAAATATTATCTGCAGCTATTTAACTCTTTTTATGGTTTTTCTAAAAGAGTAAGTAAAGCATTGCTTTTTTTTTTTCTTAATGAGAGGGAGAAATTATGAATTATAATTACTTTTCTGATCATTACCATTTTTGAGTAAATCTTTTGAGTCTTATTAGGATGATCAAATTCTTTTTTTTGCTATAGAGCGTGTGCGCTTGCCAGAAAGAGAAACAGAGAGACAAAGCGAGAAATCACCCCCCAGGGAGGATGGCCATGCTGCAATCCCTTCTCCATTCTCCTCTCGGGATCTTGGGCATGCATGCACACATGCCTGGCGTGAGTTTAAGCCTCTGGGTCCAGGACTTGAGCTGTGGTCGGCTACGTGGGAGTTCAGTGACATAGCCATTACGCTAACTGCTGGTCCCAGGATGGTCAAATTCTGTGCAAATAGCCCAACATATCACAGCCTTTCTTACAGTTTTCTACAACTCAAAGCTGTGTTTATGTCATTAGTTACCTAATAATATAAAATTTCTTACCAGAGGGGCCAGCAGGTGACATGGTGGTTAAGGATGCTGGACTCCAACATGGCCAACCGTGGTTTGAGTCCCAGACCTGGCAGCTTGCTTTCTCACTATCCATCTCCCTCTCTCTCTGTCCTTCTCTAGTCAAATTGAAAGAAAGAAAGAAAGAAAGATAAAATAATTCAAAAAAATAAATTCTTGCCAGAATTTCAACTTTTAAGTAGCACTTATTTTATAGTTTTTTTTTGTTGTTGTTTTTTGTTTTTTTTTCTGTTGGGCACATGCACTCGCCAGAAAGATAGAGGCAGAGAGACAGAAAGCAAACAATCACCCCCACAGGGAGGATGGCCATGCCGCAATCCTCCATTCTCCTCTCGGGATCTTGGGCATGCGTGCACACATATCCGGTGTGAGTTTAAGCCACCGGGTCCAGGACTTGAATTGCGGTCGACTACATGGGAGTCCAGCAACATAGCCATTATGTCAACTGCTGGTCCCACTATGTCCATTTTTAAAAATGACTTTGGCCATAATAGTTTGAGTTCTTTTGTTGCCTTGTATTTGTTATTTCTAGTGATTAAATCCATTTGTTACTTTCTTATTTTTTTTAAGAGAGATTTTTGCTGTAGGGCAAGTGCACTCACCAGAAAGGCAGAGAGACAGCAAGACAGTGAGAAATTACCCAAAGGGATGGCCATGCCACAATCACTTCTCCGTTCTCCTCTCGGGATTTTAGGCATGCATGTACATGCGCCCAACATGAGTTTCATTAATATGTTCATTAGTATGTAAAAACATTTTCAGATAATATTTAGCTTTTAGTGTTTTTTTTTTTTTTAAATTTGCTATGGGCAGTTGTCTTGCTGGTGGGAGGGAGAGGTAGAAAGAGAAAGTGAGAAATCACCACCCAGGGGAATGGACATATCACAATCTCTTCTCTGTTCTCCTCTTGGGATTTTGGGCACGCACATACATGTGCTTAGTATGTCTTCCAAGAACCCGAACAGTGAAATCAGTCATGTGAGATCCAACCACTTTCACCACACCACTAGCTAGCCCATGTTTAGCTTAAAAAAAAGAAAAAGAAAAGCCTTCTCCTCTTCATTCTCTTCCATTCTTCAGTCCTTTCTCCATTTTCCTTTTGGGATTTTGGGCACATAGGCACATGTGCCTGGCATGAGTTTCAAGCTGCTGGGTCAAGGACTTGAATTGTGGTCGACCATGTGGGAGTCCAGTGATGTAACCATTATGCCATCTGCTGGTCCCACATTCACTTCTTTTAGTAGCAGTAAGTAGCTTATATTTTTACCTTTAAGTTTTTACATAAATATTTGTTTAACCCCATTCTGTGTGGTTGCATTTGATTTCTTTGAGTTTAAATGTAAGACTTATATTTATGCTACTTAAGTTAGGTCTATTGTTTCTGTCCATGCAGATTTTTTTTTAAAGTTTATTTATTTCTTCCATGAGAGAGACAGAGAGAGAGAGAGACAGGCACTCCCAATAGGATCTTCATGCCATGATCTTTACCCAGTTTCAGGCAGCTGGGTCACAGACACATGCATGTGTGCTCGTGTATGTACTAGGAGACCTTGGGACATGAACCCGAGACCTTCCATTGTGGGCCCAGCATTGCAGAGAATCATGCTACTTCTATGCCACTGTCTGGTCCATCATAGATATTTTAAAAAGTCTTTTATGCAAGAGCCAGCAGGTGGCAGGGTGGTTAAGGCACTGAATCCCACATGGCCAGCTGTGTAGTTTGAGCCCCAGACCCTGTGGCTTGAAAGACATGCTGGGTGGGGAGCCAGCTGGTGGTGTCATGGTTGAGGCCCTGGACGATGGTTCAAACCCTGAACTTGGCAACTTACTTTCTTACTTTACCTTTCTGTCTGTGTCTCTCTCTGGTCAAATAAAAAAATAATAACAAAAATAAATAAAATAATTCTTAAAAAAAAAAAAAAAAAAGACATGCGGGGTGGGTGTGCATGTGTGCCCAAAATCCCAAGAGGAGAGTGGAGGAGAAAGGATTGCGGTATGGCTACTGCCTTTCCCCAGGGGGTGATTTCTCACTTTTCTTCTCTGTCTCTTTCTGTCCAGCAAGCATACATGTCCTATGCAAAAATCTTTAAAAGTAATTTGTTTATGCAAGCCAATATATTAGTTTGTCAGAGAAGTCCTGGCATGTTTTTCTTTCTTTTTTTTTTAGGAGTTATTTTATTTAACTTTATTTATTTTAATTTGACCAGAATGAGAGAGAGAGAGGGAAATCGAGAAAGTAAGCTGCCAGGTCCAGGACTCGAACGGCGGTCGGCCATGTGGGAGTTCAGTGCCCTCAACCACCACGCCGTCTGCCAGCTCCCATGGCATGTTTTTCTGTGCAAAAATACAATGACTTTTACAACAACCTAATAAAAATATTGAACAAAAGAAAACCCTTTGATATATTTGCAGGTTATATTAAGTTTATTAAGCAGATTAGCATATAGAAATTTTACAGTTGAAATTAGAAAAACAATTTAATTTTCATTACAAATCTTTAAGGAGAAAGAGAAGCTTTAGCAATTTTCCTTGTTGAAAATTTTGTATCTCTTAAAGTGCACTTGAAAAGTCTTATTCTAGGTAGTTGAGTTTTAAATATTCATTGAAATTTTTTTGGCTAGGATAAAGTTATATATATTGGGTCATCAGAAAAGTTAAGCATTTTTGCAATGCCATGACTTTTCTGACAACCCAATAGATGAATGTAGTCAAGTTGGTCCTTGTATTTAATAGAGGTGATAACATCAATCTTTTTGCTACAATTTATTTGTATTCATGCTACAATACAAACTGGTGCAGCTGAGACAGCAGCATTTATGGCTCCAGATTACTTGAACACACCAGCATGGCTTGTATGACTCCCAGAGACACTGTGGTAGGCAGACATCTTGAGGAACATTGCTGCACTCTCGCACCTTGCCAGACTCTCCTAGACCTAGAGAATAGTTCCAAACGAGAGCTGGAGCTTTAATCTCCCATTGGGTGTGCAGAGTAGGGATTACCGATGAAGCACTGCTTCAGTCCTAAACTTTTTTCTTAATATTTATTTAATTCCATTTGTTATTATTTTGACCAGAGAGAGAGAGAGGGAAAGCAAGAAACTAAGCTGCCAGATCCTGGACTCAAACTGCAGTCAGTCATGTGGGAACCTAGTGCCTTTAACCACCGTGCTACCTGCCGGCCCCAAGTCCTAAACTCTTAAATTCACAGTTAAATTTCTCTGCATATCTCTTGAACCAGTCACCAATTGCTATAACTGCCAAAAGAGGGATGGAGATCTAAATTTACATTGTTTTCAGTTTGAATATTGTTCCTTTCCTTCAGTAAATGTATGATCTAGCAGGAAGACCGTAAGTTACTTTAATGCTCTTTATTTATTTATTTATTTATGAGAGGTTTTTTGCTATAGGGCGCATGTGCTCGCCAGAAAGACAGGGAGAGATGGAGAGACGGAAAGTGAGAAATCACCCCCCCGGGGGGATGACCATGCCACAGTTCCTTCTCCTCCATTCTCCTCTTGGGATCCTGGGCGCGCACACATGCGTGCCTGGCATGAGTTTAAGCCACCGGGTCCGGGACTCGAACCATGGTTGACTACATGGAAGTCCAGTGACATAGCCATTATACTAACTGCTGGTCCCCCACCCTTTTTTTAAAAAACCTAATGAACAAAGGATTTTTTTTTTAAGCAGAAATTTGACATTTAGGTAAATAGTATGTGCTCAGTAAATATTTGTGAATGAATTAGTGAATCCCAAACATGTTGGTAGAGCTCTGTGATCATGGGAATTTTGTTTATAGAATATTTATAATGCGTAACTCACGTTCCTGTTCCTAGAATATATTTCTCTTAGCATGAATTATTTCTCATTAAGTCCTCAAACCGTCGTTCTTTTTAGATACAGGCTGTAGATGTCTTACTCTGTTCTTGTAACCAAGGTGTTTCTTCCCAACTCTTTATTTCCTTAGAAATAAAAGAGTTTAAAATTCTGATAATTTGTTTTACTTAACAGCTCTTAATGACTTTCTTCCTGTAAGTTATTCTTGTTTTTTTGTTTTGTTCACACCATAATGGAATGAGTAGTCAGCTTTAGAAAGTGTAAATTTATTACTTTTCTAAACATTTTCGTATAATAGGGCATTTTAAGTATGAGTGGGATATAAACTTCTTTTGTTTGTTTAATTCTCAATAGTGAGTTTAGAATATTATATGTTCTTTTTCTGTGTTTGAAAAGGGTGATTCATGCATTTATATTATATATATACTATGTAACTTTGGTGATTTTTAATTCCAGCTAATTTTGCAAACATGGTTTAGAAATTTTATTGACCACGGTATATAATATAGATTACATGGCTGTTTAGCTGTGTAGATATTTATTAACTGATGGCTGACTGTGTCTGATAGGAACAAGAGTTTGTTCAGAAGCAACAACAAGAGTTAGACGGCTCTCTGAAGAAGATCATCCAACAGCAGAAAGCAGAGTTGGCCAACATTGAAAGAGAGTGCCTGAATAACAAGCAGCAGCTCATGAGAGGTATTTGAAATTCTGCGGTGTGTGTGATATAAAATGATACATAAAAAATGCTGAAATACACCATGGAAATTATTTGAGTATTTCCTTTGCTAGAGAAAGCTAGAGTGATATGTGCTAAAATAAGAGCAAAATATTTTAAATTGAGAAATATAAGAGGGACCAGAAGATGGCATAATGGTTATGCTGCTGGACACCCACGTAGTTGACCACAGTTCGAATCCTGGACCTGGTGACTTAAAACTCATGCCAGGCATGTGTGTGTGCATGCTGAGATCCTGAGAGGAGAATGGAAGAGAATGGATTGTGGCGTGGCCATCTCCTCTTGGGGTGCCTTCCTGCTTTCTGTCTCTGTGACGAGCACATGGACCCTATTGCAAAAATCTCTCAAAAAAAAAAAAAATACAGGGTATGGAATTCCTTTATGACAGTAAAAAGTGAGCATAAGTGTATCATCCTAAAAATGTCTTGTCTGGATGAAGTTAGAAATACGTCCGAATAATGCTGTGTACTTGTTATGCCTTATAATTATTGGTACATGATAGAATGGAGTTTTTAAAAAACAGATTAGCTTAAAATCTGTTAAAAAATTTTAACAGATTAAGTAGAATTTTGGTGTTCAGGGCAGCTCTTTCTCTGATTATTGGACAGTAAAACATAAAGGAAGGTGGTAATTTTTATTACCTTTTTTTTTTTTTTTAAGAGAGATTTTTGCTATAGGGCATGTGCACTCGCCAGACAGACAGAGAGAGACATAGAGACAGAAAGCAAGAAATCACCCCCGGGAGGATGGGCATGCCACAATTTCTTCTCCATTCTCCTCTTGGGGTCCTGGGCACACATGCACACACACTGGCTTGAGTTATAAGTTGCCAGGTCCGGGACTTAAATTGCCATCTACTATGTGGGAGTCCAGCAACAACCATTGTGCCACCTGCTATTCCCAATTTATATTATCTTTGCTTTGGTAAAATTTATAAATCAGAATGTCAGTGTGTATGCAAGTTAGTGTATGTAGACCACTTTCATGTAAATATTAAAATGAGAGAAAAATATACTAGTAAAAAAAAAGTACATTAGTAAAAAGAACAAGTGACAAAGTGACATTTTGGAAACTGTTTTCTCCTTCTAGCTCGAGAAGCTGCAATTTGGGAGCTTGAAGAACGACACTTACAAGAAAAACACCAGCTGCTCAAACAGCAGCTTAAAGATCAGTATTTCATGCAAAGACATCAACTGCTTAAACGCCATGAGAAGGTTAATGAAAGGTTTATTTTAAAATTTGTAGAGCTGTTCAGGTTTTTTTTAAGCTAGAAGGTGCACACAAATGTGTGCTGATGAGTGTGCCCATGCACTCAGGCACATGTGATAATACCCCAAAAGGGTCCAGTTGTGCCACAATCCTTTTTCCTCCAATTCTCCTACCTGCCAGGATCCCAGGCCTGTGTACTTACCCCTGTCCAGCGTGGGGCTGCTGGGGCTGGGACTTGAATCCTAGCCAGCCATGGCAGAGCTGACTTCTTCCGGGCAGTGTCTAAATGCTGTTCTCTGATGGGGCTGCCCCTGTGCAGTCTTGAACTTACATGCTTTGGAGAATGGCTTTTTAAATTTCTGTCTTTTATCCCAAAATTTCTGTCATTAAGTTTGGAGTAATTAATTATATCTTAATCACAATTGTAAGCTTCTTTTCTACAAATTACAGGGAAAGTAGCTAATTAGAGTGTTTAAAGATCTCTATGTTGTGATCTTCATCTTGTTTCTCAGAGGTACCTGTTTTGGCTCCGTTTGTCATTCGTGTATCTTAACGTAAACTCCTGGTACTTAGTAAAAGAGAGTTTCAATATTAGACTCATGACTAATAACTTTGTCTTATAAATTACTTTTTTGCCGAGTATTTTGCTGGTCACTGCAAAACAAGAGAGTAATCATAGAAAATAACAACCAAATGACATGCTTGAACATACATATGAGTACTAAAGGATAAAGTTTACCTACACTGCTGGGTTCTATTTTAAACTTTCTTAGGAAACAGAACAAATGCAGCGTTATAATCAACGGCTCATAGAGGAATTGAAAAACAGACAGACTCAAGAAAGGGCAAGACTGCCCAAGATTCAGCGCAGTGAAGCCAAGACACGAATGGCCATGTTTAAGAAAAGTTTAAGGATTAACTCAACAGCCACACCAGATCAGGATCGTGACAAAATCAAACAAGTGAGTAAGCAAATCATTCTCTTCTTTTTTAGGTTTTAAAACTTTGAATGACCTTTAGAAGTACCTCATAATTTGTGTTGTAACATTTAGAGCCTCTGGGCTTACTGATGTTCACTTTAATTCTATGGACTGGAGCAAAGTAAAGGATATAGACCAACTTTGTCTTCCTGGGCTGGTGACCACAGAGAGCAAAGCCCTTCTTCCCATATCCCAACTAGATCCTGGGCAAGACAAGTCCTAAGACCAGCCCTGGGAATGTGATGACGTGGACGGCTTTTTGAGTCAAAGCACGTAGCCTCACTATGATACTTCTGCAGTCAGTCTTACACACAGGTTAGCTGAGGTCGCTAAGCAGACAGGAGGATCAGGGTGGTTTTTTCTGTTTTGTGTTTTTTTTTTTTTTTAAGAGATTTTCCCCTTAGGGTGCGTGCACTTACTCGAGAGACAGAGAAACAGAGATAGTGAGAAGGAAAGTGAGAAATCACCCCCCAGGGGGCATGGCCACAATGCAATCCCTTCTCCATTCTCCTCCCGGCATCTTGGGCATGCTCGCACCTGCGCCTGGTGTGATTTTCAAGCCACCTAGTCCAAGACTCAAACCTGGTCTGCCTTGTGGAAGTCAGCGACGTAATTGCTACGCCATCTGCTGGCCTGGAGAGTGAAGGTTTTAATCATCATCCCCGCCACCAGTAGCCCACGTGGTGGTGTAGACTCCAGCTTTGAGTCACAGCCCATTATTACTTGCAGCTTTAGTTTATTTTACTTAAGTTTTGTTAAATCTCTTAATTATACCTTTGGAATATGAAGAAACTACATCGCTCATTAAACATAATTTATCTTTTGTTTTTCTTATTTATAGTTTGCTGCACAAGAAGAAAAGAGGCAGAAAAATGAGAGAATGGCTCAGCATCAAAAACACGAAAATCAAATGCGGGATCTTCAGTTGCAGTGTGAAGCCAATGTCCGGGAGCTGCATCAGCTGCAGGTCGGGATAGAAATGTGACAGCGAAGCTGGTGCTAGCAGGCAGCACATGTGGCTAGTTAGGGGCACGCAGCAGATGAGCCAAGTAAAGTGCACATTCCTGAGGAAAATGCTGAGTCAGCGTCGTGCCTTCTTTTTAACAATTTTTTAAAATTGAACTTTATTTATTTTAATTTGACCAGAAAAGGACAGAGAGCGATAGAGGGAAAGTGAGAAAGCAAGCCACCAGGTCCAGGACTCGAACTGCGGTCGGCCGTGTTTGAGTCCAGCCCCCTTAATCATCACATGTTTTCAGCATAGACCCAAATGGAATCGGTTTAGTGTCATAGGTATTTGTTTAGATTTTACTAAAACATTATGAATATAAACATGATGTTAGTTGTAACCTAAGAAGCTGAATCTTTTAAAAGCAATAGTAATGTTGTTTTTAATATATTTTGCAAGAAGATATACAAAGTTTTCAAAATGATAAAGGCAATTTTATTGTCAGACTCTGAATTAAAATGTTCCATTTATGGGGAAATAATTGATTTTCTTCTTGGTGTTTGAAAGAAAGTGGTAAATATATGGAAGGTTTTTTCCTAAGAAATTTAATGGTTACTTTAGAGAGTGCTGCTTTTGGACCTTACCTGGAATGTGCAATCCATCTATTACATATTCTAAAATGTTTAAAATTTCAGAGTATTGTGCACAGTGTGGCTACTGTGTATAGTTGCTCAATTTATTAGAATAGAATAGTTTCTGATAACAATTCTACATTCTAGTAGCAATGGGTAAAATGTATGCAAGCTGCCTCCTGAAGTGTCAGTTTTATGTGCATACTTTCTTATAAAGGAAAAACAAAAGCCGAGAGTAATTCCAAGTTCTTTTTATGTGGTTTATAACATATCTAGCTTCTAAGCCTGCAAAAATGAAGCTACTCATTTCATAATTCTTGGCCTTTGATTTTTAGAGGAGAACTTAGACTCCAGTAACAGCTAATTTGATGAGTAATTTATTTTGGAAGATAATTATATTTTTGAAAAATTGGTTAGTAGTTGTGATTTTGTTTTAATCCAACTTTATTTTCAGAATGAAAAATGTCACCTGTTGGTGGAGCATGAGACTCAGAAACTAAAGGAGTTGGATGAGGAACATAGCCAAGAATTAAAGGAGTGGAGAGAGAAATTGAGACCCAGGAAGAAGGTAATTTAAAATTTTAATTAAAATATAATTCGGGCCAGCAGGTGGCATGGGGGTTAAGGCAGCTGGGTCCCACATAGCTAGCAGCATGGTTTGAGTCCTGGACCCAGTGGCTTAGAAAACACGTTGGGCATGTGTGTATATATGGCCAAAATCCAGATAGGAGAACAGAGAAGAGATTGCATCATGACCTTCCTCCACAGAGGTGCTTTCTCATTTTTCCCTGGTCTGCCTCTGTCTGTCTGGTGAGCACATGCACCCTATAGCTGAATTTAAAACAACAACAACAACAAAACATGCTTTGGGACAGTAGGTGGCATGGTGGTTAAGGTGCTGGATCCCACAGGGCTGACTGTGGTACAAATCCTGGCACTGGCGGCTGGAAGAAAACACACTGGATGAGTGTGCGTGCATGTCCAAAATCCTGAGAGGAGAATGGAGGCAAAGGGATTGTGGTGTGGCCATCCCCCATAGAGGGTGATTTCTCACTTTCCTTGTCTGTCTCTTTGGCAAGCACACATGCCCTATGGCAAAAACCTTAAACATGTTTGTTCTCATCCATGCACTCAGTTGCCGGCTCTTTACCTACTGTGTGGCAAGGATAGTGTCAGTGACAGGAGATGCAGAGATGAAAGGACAAAGTCTTTGTCCCCAGAAGACTCAGAATGTGGTAACAAGCAGTTACAAGTGGTAGGATCACTATTCTGTAGTGGTAAATTTCAGGGAGAAGGAGCAGAATATACATGCAAAGGAGGAACAGTGCTGAAGTCTGCTTGGGGATGTCAGGGAGGCTTCAGAGGGATCTACCTTATAAGCCAGACGAGACTTGAAGGATGAGTAAGAGCTTGCTAGGTGCACACATTAGAGTGCAGTGGGGCAATTTAGGTAGAAAGTAGCGAGCGAGTGAAAAATGGTGTCTATGCAGATTTGCAAATAGTTCTCTATCATTAGAGAATTGAGGGTGTGCCTGTGTGTAGGCATTAGGGAGGGGGAAAAGGAAGAAAGGAAGTGGTGATAGCTGAACCCAGACAGGTTCGACGGGAGCCGTATCATAAACGCCTGTGTGCTCTGTAAATTCAAAATCTGGTGCAATAGAGGTGACTTCCGCCTCCCTCCCTTCATGTCTTCTGTTTGTACTTGACTCCCTGCTAGCCTGGCTAACCATTTGCTAACCCTCAAACTGAAACCTTGATTTCCTCTTGTACTTTCTGCCTGTTACATATTTCAATGTTTTTTTTTTTTTTCTTCTCTTTATCCGATTAGTCAGTCAAGGAAATTACTAACCCCTACTGTGTTCAAAGGTTTCTGGAGAAAGTGAAATGACTAAGTTGGTAGTATGCTTTTTTACTTTAATTTTATATTTCGTTAAGTTTTAGGAATAGATTTAGCATTCATGTAGTTCAGAATTCAAAAGGTAGGAAAGGATAAACAGTAAAAAAATTCCTTTTTCCATTTTCTCTTTTTAACTCCTTATAGTTTAGCTTCCACTTGAAACTCTCCAGTTGACTTATTGACAGTGTCACAAGTGAATTGCTAATAGCCAAACCCTGTGACCTTATATAACTGTGCTTATTAAGTTTTATTTCCTAAAATTCTCTTCTGGCCTGACTTTGTAACTTAACTGTTCGTTTTTCATGATTTTATGAACTTTTTTTTTTTTTAGAGAGATTTTTGCTATAGGGCACATGTGCTCATTGGAGAGACTGACAGACAGTGAGAAATCACTCCCCTCCCCATGGGGATGGCCATACTGCAGTCCCTTCTCTTCCCTTCTCCTCTCAGGATTTTGGGTACACACACGTACCTGGTGTAAGCTTCAAGCTGCCAGGTCTTGGACTTGAACCGCGGTCAACTACATGGGAGCCCAGCAACGTAACCATTATGCCATCTGCTGGTCCCCTTGACTTTATGACCTTTAATTTGGCTTTCAGTCTCCCTAAATGAGACTGTTTTTCAGTTTTACATCCTGTTCTTTAACTTGATCTTGTAGCTAGTCATAACTTCAGCTGTTGCATATTCCATTTTATTTTTCATTTCTAGAGAGTGTATGTGCTTACCAGAGAGAGAGAGAGAGAAAGCATCCCCCAGTGGGGCATGAACACATCACAATCCTTTTTTTATTTTATTTTTTTTTCCTTTTGAGAGAGATTTTTGCTATGGGACATGTACATTTGCCAGAGAGACAAAAAGTGAGAAATCATTTGGGGGAGCGGGCACACACCTCAGTTCTTTCTCCTCCATTCTCCTCTTGAGACTTTTGGGCACTCATGCACATGTACCTGGTGTGAGTTTTAAGTCGCTGGGGCCAGGACTCAAACCCAGTGACGTAACCATTACACCATCTGCTGGTCCCTCACACCAAAACACAATCCTTTTAACATCTCCTCTATCCTGTCAGGGTTTGGAGTGTGCATAAGTACATGCTCTGCATGTTTCTCAAGCCAGGGCCAGGACTCAAACTGCTGTAAACCCTATGGTATCCAGCTCCCTGAACACAGAGCTTACTTGCTGTGCCACAGGTCCAGCCCCAGCTGTTGGATTTTTAAGGACAGTATCAAAAGCTGAATAGTAGGGGTTGTGTAGAGTACAGACTTTAAAGTCATACAGATAGAGGTCCAGATCTCACTGACACTTAGTGATTAATTTTGTCACTTAACATTTCTAGGCCCAATTTTCCTCATTTGTAAAATGAAGATGGTGATGTCTCCCAGACTGAAATAATTCAGAAAGTAAAAAGAATTGATGGTTGTGTAGCACTTACCCCAGTCGTAGTCAGGCTTCCATGAATGGTTGTTATTGCTATCGCTGTGTATTGTTTTTATTGTTACTAGTTTGAGCACTAAGCTTCTATTTTATTTAAAATAATTATTTTATTTAACATTTATTTATGTATTTATTTGACCAGAGAGGGACAGAGTGAGAGAGAGAGAGAGAGAGAAAGTGAGAAAGCAAGCCGCCAGGTCCGGGACGCAAACTATGGTTGGCCATGTGGGAGTCCAGCGCCCTTGACCATCATACCACCTGTCAGTCCCCACAGCTTCTGTTTCCTGTCTAGATAGTCTGTTTCTCCTCAACCCAGGTCTGTGTTCACATGTCATTTTGCCAGTGATACCTTTTTTTTTTTAATACCACTATACATAAAATAGCTCCCATGCTCATCTCAAACATACTTTGTTTTTTTTTAATAACATTCATCACTGCCTGACATATTTGCTTATTGCATGTCTTCTGTGGGAAGATAAGCTTCTCAACAGCACAAACATTAGCTCTTTTTTCACTGATACATCTACAGCTTTTGGAACAGTCCCAGGTGCATCGTAAATGATGAACATGTACTTGTCGAATGTTGGTTAAAGAGTGCAAACTCAGTGGAGGTCGAACCAGACCCAGCACTGTTACCCCTTATTGCCGTTTCACTCTCTCGCCCTCACCGTCGGATGTCCCTCCATTCCTGTTCTCTTCATTGACATCCAGGCTAGAAATGGGAATTCTTTTTCATTTCTGTCATATCCCACATTCAGTCAGATGCAAATTAATTTTGACATTCATGTGCCTTTTAAAATATGTTCCTTTTTTTTTTTTAAAGAGAAAGGGACAGTGACGTAACCATTACACCATCTGCTGGTCCCTCACACCAAAACACAATCCTTTTAACATCTCCTCTATCCTGTCAGGGTTTGGAGTGTGCATAAGTACATGCTCTGCATGTTTCTCAAGCCAGGGCCAGGACTCAAACTGCTGTAAACCCTATGGTATCCAGCTCCCTGAACACAGAGCTTACTTGCTGTGCCACAGGTCCAGCCCCAGCTGTTGGATTTTTAAGGACAGTATCAAAAGCTGAATAGTAGGGGTTGTGTAGAGTACAGACTTTAAAGTCATACAGATAGAGGTCCAGATCTCACTGACACTTAGTGATTAATTTTGTCACTTAACATTTCTAGGCCCAATTTTCCTCATTTGTAAAATGAAGATGGTGATGTCTCCCAGACTGAAATAATTCAGAAAGTAAAAAGAATTGATGGTTGTGTAGCACTTACCCCAGTCGTAGTCAGGCTTCCATGAATGGTTGTTATTGCTATCGCTGTGTATTGTTTTTATTGTTACTAGTTTGAGCACTAAGCTTCTATTTTATTTAAAATAATTATTTTATTTAACATTTATTTATGTATTTATTTGACCAGAGAGGGACAGAGTGAGAGAGAGAGAGAGAGAGAAAGTGAGAAAGCAAGCCGCCAGGTCCGGGACGCAAACTATGGTTGGCCATGTGGGAGTCCAGCGCCCTTGACCATCATACCACCTGTCAGTCCCCACAGCTTCTGTTTCCTGTCTAGATAGTCTGTTTCTCCTCAACCCAGGTCTGTGTTCACATGTCATTTTGCCAGTGATACCTTTTTTTTTTTAATACCACTATACATAAAATAGCTCCCATGCTCATCTCAAACATACTTTGTTTTTTTTTAATAACATTCATCACTGCCTGACATATTTGCTTATTGCATGTCTTCTGTGGGAAGATAAGCTTCTCAACAGCACAAACATTAGCTCTTTTTTCACTGATACATCTACAGCTTTTGGAACAGTCCCAGGTGCATCGTAAATGATGAACATGTACTTGTCGAATGTTGGTTAAAGAGTGCAAACTCAGTGGAGGTCGAACCAGACCCAGCACTGTTACCCCTTATTGCCGTTTCACTCTCTCGCCCTCACCGTCGGATGTCCCTCCATTCCTGTTCTCTTCATTGACATCCAGGCTAGAAATGGGAATTCTTTTTCATTTCTGTCATATCCCACATTCAGTCAGATGCAAATTAATTTTGACATTCATGTGCCTTTTAAAATATGTTCCTTTTTTTTTTTTTTTTAAAGAAAAGAGGTATTCTCAGCAGGGTCTCGCCGTGCCCCGGTCCAGCCTCTCAGTTAGCCAGGACCGCAGGTGCGCACCTCCCCGCCCGGCGTATCTAGGTCTGTCTGGGACCCAGACCAGGGCCTTCCAGTGCTCTGCCATTGCACGGTGGCGCCTTCTGCCTGTGCTCCTGTGGCGAGGCTGTCTCCATGGTAGTTCTCCACTTTGTCACTGCTGTCCTACTACTTGCGTACGTTGCTCAGTCGTGTCCTCGTGGCTCTAGTTCCCTCCCTTCCTGCTTGCCTGCCGTCACCAGAAGGTTGATCCTGCAGAACTCATACTGTCAGAGTGGTGCTGGTGACTCCTCAGTTCCACCAGAGGAAACTGTGCATGCCGCAGTTTGTCCTTGAAGCCTTTAGTGCCGCACGTGGGCCACCGCTTTCCAGCTTCTTTTCTGACCTGCACCTTGATTCCCAGTTCAGCCCTGTGTACAATCCCCATTTTCACACCAGCGCTGTCTGTGGTTTCCTGTCTGTGTGCCCTCCAGCTTTCTATGTCTAGCCTGCCTTCCCCATCCTGCCTGTCAGCTTCACCTTTCCTTCAGAACTGAGCCTGTTTCTCCTCTCCTGAGAAACGTTACCGTACCCTTCCTCCTTTCCCTGTACGTGGTCTGCGCCTCTGCAGTAGACTTGCTCCTGAGTCACTTGTCCACGAGGCATTACCCGCTTTACTTCATTTGGATTGCCATATAATAAACGGCATTAAGCAGAGACTGGGAGTCTGAGACTAGGATGGCAGGAGGGTCAGGTTCTGATAAGGGCCTTCTTCTGGGACACAGACCGCTGACTTCTCACTGTGGCCACACGTGAGGAAGGAAGGAACTCTCTCTTCAGTCTTAGGAGGGCACTAGTGCCATTCACGAGGACTCTACCCATGACATAATCCCCTTACGAAGGCCCCACCTCCTTATACCGTCACGCTGGGGATTAGGCTTCAACACGGATTTGGGTTTGGGGTGGGGACAGACATTCAGATCACAATACCTCGCCATGTTCATTAAGCACTTAGTATATTTGTTCTGTATTACGGGGATGTAAAGATGAATCTGGTTTGGATCTTACCTTTAAACGGCTTATAGTCAGGTGTGGAAGAAAAAATGTGCACATTGGTAACTAAAAAAGTAGAAAGTGGTTGATGTCGTGTGGGAGAGATGATAGCGCATCTGTAGGAGTACCTAGTGTGTGTTAGGTACACCCTCCTCACCTTTAATCTTCACGTAGTGACCCAGTGAGGTACTGTCACTATTTTACAGCAGGGGAACTAAGTGATTTTGTATATAAAGAAGTTAAGTAACTGACCCAAGTTACCTTTACACTTGGCTGAGCTGAGACTTGAACCCAGGGCTGTGTAAAGCTTGTGATCTTTTTATTTTTCTTTTTAATTGCCAGAGGACATGTACACTCACCAGAGAGACACAGGGAGAGGGAGAAAACACACCCAGAGGGGTGCAGTCACACTGCAGGCTCTTCCCCTCTATTTCTCCATCCCATTTGAACCTTGCGCACACGCATACATGCCCAGCGTGTTTTTCAAGCTGCTGGGTGGGACTTGAGCCAGGGTTGTCCGTGCAGGTGGGCTACAGCTTCCTTAACCACTGGGTTATGGGGTCAGCCTGTAAAGCTTAGGACCTTAGCTGCTGAACAGGGGGGGCTCCATAAGATAATAAAAAGGAAATGTATTTTGAGTAACTATCAATGGTTTCTTCTTGGTTGTCAGAGCAAATTCTATGCGTAATACCACGTACGCGCTGTGTACATCTCTATAATACCGCGTATAATTTCTTGTTCCTTTCCTTTTTCAAAGACACTGGAAGAAGAGTTCGCCAGGAAACTGCAGGAACAGGAAGTGTTCTTTAAAATGACTGGGGAGTCTGAATGCCTTAACCCATCAGCGCAAAGCCGGATTTCCAAGTTCTACCCTATCCCCAGCCTGCACTCCACGGGGTCCTAACTGTGGGAGACGTGCTGTGGTTGGGCTGGCTTAAATGTGTCGTTCTGCTCTCTTCATCTTCTGCCACAGCCTGTCAGATAGCTCACGGAGACAATCACCTGCCTCACCTTCTAAGTGTTGTTTGGTTTTTGTTTTTGTTTTTGTTTTTTTGGGGGGAGAGGGTTGTTTAAAGCAAAGATGAAGGGAAAACAAACTAAGGCAGATGCTAGGCCATGTTGGCAAAGTAGCATCTTAAAGTAATTCCCTAAGGTGATTTTGTATAATAACCTTAAAAATGTGTTACCTGAAAATCTGTTAGAGAAATAATGTTTAAAGTTATTTTTTAAAGACCCTGTTACATCACTAAGTATTAGTGTCTTTTCACCTGACCTAACCTGTCAGTGACGCCTGAGCTCTGTAATAGACTGCTGTACAGAGTTAAGTCTCTTCCCATCAGTCAGCTCTCATAAAGAAGTTATGTGTTCAAGATATACTGCTGATTCAAAAATAAATATATTTTATTTTTAACTAGGAACAAGCTCATTTAAAAGAGAAAAATTATTTCAGTAATTTTTCAAAATTAGTATTTCCCTTTTTGGACATGAACTAATCATTGAGGGTGCTAGTTTTATTAAGATAGTGCCTAAAACTCGACATTCCAATCAAGTTTAAAATTGGATTTTCTTTTTGAGCAACAGGGACAAAGCACCCTTAGTAAATGTTACTATTTTTAAAATCTTATAACTCTGACCATTTGATAACAATTTTCATCCTAAAATATATGTTGTGCAAAGTTTGCAAAGATTGAAAAGTAGCAAATTGGAAATGTAAGACTCACCAAGTTAAAAGTAATACAGATTTAGCCGTCCCAGTTTATTTCTTAAAATAATATGAGCTGGTTTCAAGGACTTTTATCTTAGCAAATTCTGTTTGTTTAAAAAACTGTCAGAGGCTTGAGGCTCTGAATTATGTTTATAAATGCATTTTCTGAAATTAATCTTAAAAGAGGCAATTGTTCAGAATACTTTTTCAAAATTATTTAAATATTTAGAGAAAAATCAGGAATGACTTTTTTGTTGTTGTGAAATGAAGTTACTTACATTTTGATTTTATTTTGTTCCATTTAAATTATTTACTTTGATCCGAATGGGAAAAGCCTGAAACCTTTATCACGTGGTCGCTGGTCTGTGTAATTATTAATGAAAGGTTCACTTTTAGTCCCTTCGAGGCTTAGAATTTCAGCCGTGGGTCAGGTCAGACAGTATTATACACCGTGCTCCGGCGTGTGAGGTAGCACCCTGAAAACAATTGTCACTGCCTGCCATTGACAGCCTGTTCTTTTCTAAGAGTGCTGGGTACCAAATGGTAGACTTTTCAGTTCTCAGTTGTGTTACTTTTGAGGCTGGTGAAAACTGAAATGCAACTTTGTGGGAACACTGATTCATGTTAAGGAAACATAAGTGTCCGTAGCACTTTCTTGCAGTTACTTTGAAGACTTAGGATGCTGACCCTTATTTTGTCAGTGGTTTAGATTATTTACAAATGCATGTGTTATTTTAATTTTTTAATTGTTTCGATAAGTATAATTTACTTGGATAACTTTGTAGGTAGCCTTAACTTCTGGCCAGGTTTTTATATATATATATATAAATAATTATATATACATATATATTATTGTATGGTTGTAAATTCATACACTTACCACATGAATGTGTTACTGTATACAAACTTAATGCTTTATTCTCAAATACTGGGTGAAAATGTTTTGAAAGTCTTTTAAATATATATCTTTATAAAGTAATATTCAGAATGATAGAAATTGTTTATATTGTTATGATAAAATGACAGTATAATGTTGCCCAGTGTATTTAATGATTTATTTGAAGAGGGAGAGGAAGGAAGGTTCTCTTACCACCTTCTTTTTTGAAACTTTTAGTTTTTAATGGCTGTTAAAAAATGAGTATTTAAGGCAGTGGACAGTTTTGTTTCAGTTTTGTTTTTGTATCATTTAAATGATACGCTGTGAGCTAGCGTGTAGCACACAGTTGACTTGTTCTGAATATTCAGTTTTTCCTGTTCTTTTCAACTTGACATCCAGAGTGTAGAGTCCAGGAGAGGCTCTGCTGGGTTTACTAGCCACTCTTGCATCTCCCTTGAAGGTGCCCTTGGGATTTGCTCCTCATGCTCGAGTCCTCTTTCCAGTAGGACTGCGTTCATGTGGATGCAAGACATAGAAGTCAGCTCCTAAAGTTATAGGGATTTTTCCCAGAAGGAAAAGTTTGTCCTAGAATTGCTGTTTGTAGACATACCTGCCCAGGTCTCGTAGGCCCCGTCCTCAGATAGTAACAGTGATCTTTCTTTCTTGCTTGAAGCAAGGTGGGAGGGGCAGGGGGAGAGGGGCACATCTCCTTTGATATCTGCCAGAGCAGCCAGATCCATTCCTGACTTGGTGGTTTGGACACTGGGGCAGAGTAGGCCACACAGTGCTTAGAAGAAATTCTCCCCGCAGGCTCCCTCCTCAGTCACCGCTCCCTGAGTGCTCTGCACACACAGACCTCCGCTCCTGCAGGTCTAGCTCAGAGCTCGGCACCAGGCTGCCTCTCCTGTCCTGTCACTCCTGAGGTGTGAATTGCTGGATTAGCTGCTATTCTCTATGGAGTCACATTAAGCTTTTTCTCACCCTTTTCTGTGGGCGATCTCTAGGGTGGTAAGGAGGAAATTTAGCAAATTTTCACTTTGCTGAACAATACTGGATCCTTCCTCTGACAGGATACAGCAAATCATAATTAAATATAACCAGAACCAGAGCTACCTCTAAGTAGTGTTTCCTCAAGCACAAAGCTCTCAGGCATATGAGACCCACTTGAAAGGAGGGTCTCTGATTTCTTGAGCATCAGCAAGTTTCAAAAGTGACTGTTTTTGTACTCTTCTAGCTCCCTTGTACTGTACTCTCTTCCCACTCCACACTGTGCTTAAATAAGACTCCTCTGAGAAGCCACATTCGCTCACGTTATTAGAAATACTGTCAATTAAAGGAAAACCTAGAACTGAAGTGGAAGAAGATCCAATGCCAATAGTCTTTGATTAAATAAATCAGTTCTTTTCTGAGAAACGATCTTTTATAGGAAACGGAATGATACTTTAAATGCGTTTCTTAAGTTGAAGGCACAACAGTTAATGGTTCTATTGTAGTACCGTGGCCGATGCGGTTTGATAAAGCTTTAAAATGTCTGCTACGAAGCTTGGAATATGAGTGTCTTACCAGTTTTAAATGTTGGCTGCAGCTTTTTGTGATCCTTCTCTAACATGCAGTATCATTAGTTCTCAAGCTGAATGTTCAGAAAGAATTTTGTTTTGGATTATGCCTCTTGTCTGTTTGGGAGCAATCTGTCTTTTCAGTCATGGGATTGACAAATGAAAAATAAAGTTGTTTCTTAATCTATTTGGGAAGCAGTTTTTATTGGGAATCTTAGAAACTAGATTGTCTTATAGGAGAACACTTTGCAACTTATTTTTGGTCCTAGTTATATTTTCAAACATGCAATCCTGCATATCTTCCAACCTTCGTAGACTTTTTAAATTTCCTAGCCATCTGTAGTCCACATCTTACATACACTGAGTTTTTATTGGTAATTTGCTGGGAGGTGTCTTGCAGCCTGCAAACCACCCCTTTGGGAGGTGCTTAAGAGGTTTCTGCTGACACATGCGTGTGTACATCTTTTTAATTTCCTTTCTCTTCCTTGGGATGGATGGCTTTTTGTTAAGCATCTCACAAGTCATATGACCCTCACTTCTGCTAAAATAACCCCTTTTCCTTGGCAAGAGAGAGGCATGGAGTGTCATCTTCTAGCGTGCTGTTGAGGTCATTCTTAACCTTTTTTTTTTTTTTTTTCTTTTTTTGTAAATGAAACAAAAGGAGCTCAGATCCATCACCATCCAGCTGGAGACACATCTCCTATCTGCCCATGTTCTTTCTGGGTTTTGTACAGAGGAAGTAACACGTTTGGAATTTTACCTGATTTTCACTCAGACATAGAACTCCATGAAGACTTCTTCCTCATCCGTTTGTGATAGCGTGCGTATGTGCACGTGTGCGTGTCAGAGCAAGGCAGGCGCCCTCTACAGGCAGCGGTCCCCTCCAGTCCTCCGGCCGTCAGATCTCGGGCCCTTGAGCACGTGTCCTGTGTATGTCAGGCTTATTGGGCTGGGAATTCCAACTGCAGTCGCCGTGTGGGGCCCAGCTTCCCTGAGCAGCGATTACCGCTGGGCCGTGGAGCCAGCCCTGGGAAGACTTCTGAATATCTTAGTATGGTGAATCGAGTCGCAAGAGAAACACTAAGTCTATATTTAATCAGTTAAGAATCATTATAAAAGGGGATGTTACACTTGAGCCTTTGAAGCTACTTTTAACAAAAGTAAAAAGCTACCACTAAAAAATGCCAAAGTAGGGCTGACTCTTTGTCCTGGTGTTTAAGGCACCTGGATCCTACTTGGCCAGCCATGCGGTTTGAGTGCCAGACCCAGCAGTTTGAGAAGTGCCTAAATGCATGTCCAAAACCCAAAAGGAAGGGAATGACAGAGCAGAAGGGCTGCTTCTGCCATGGAGGTGCTTTCCTCTCCCTCCCTCCCTGCCTCTCTCTCTGGTGAGTGTATGTACACTCTGGCCTAAATAAATATTACTAGATGGACGATAGAGAGTAAATTCAGCTTTGGACAAGACTAGAACTCACTCTGAGAAAGAAAAGATTTAAAAAGCAAATTGCATTAATCATTATGCTCATAAGACTAGACAGTGAAACTTAATGTTTGAATGCCCTATGAGCTATTTAAAAAATTCTCATGTTGGGGGCTGGCAGGTGGCATGGTGGTTAAGGGCGCTGGACTCCCACGTGGCTGACCACAGTTCCAGTCTCAGACCTGGCGACTTGCATTTTGCTCTCTCTCTCTGTCTGTCTGTCTCTGGTCAAATTTAAATAAATAAGTAAAATAAAGTTAAATTATTTTATTATTTTTTAAAATTTTTGAGAGGTTTTTGCTAGAGGGCACGTGCCCTTGCCATAAGAACAGAGACAGACAGAAAGCGAGAAATCATCCCCCGAGGGAGATGGCCACGCCACAGTCCCTTCTCCATTCACCTCTCAGGATGTGGGCATGCACACACACGTGCCCGGCATGAGTATAAGCCACTGGGTCCGGGAATCGAACCACAGTTGACTACATGGGAGTCCAGCGACATTATGCCAACTGCTGGTCCCAAAGTTAAATAATAATTTTAAAAGTTCCCACACTGACTGTCAGGTAAGCCTCAGGAGACCATAAAGGAGGCAAAAAGTGACAGTGTGGCGCGCAACTAACTTGCTAGGGGCCTGATACCATGGACCTCTTGGGTCGCTGTGCATTTTTTGCGTAGAAAAATATGTCATGACTTTCCTGACGACCTAAGAAGGGTATGGTTTTCCTATGTGAGATACTCAGTCTGCATAGGGAATAATCAGGGTATGGTTTTCCTGTGTGAGATACTCAGTCTGCATAGGGAATAATCCAGTCTTTCAGTTGAATAGAGATAATAGAAGTGGATTTAATTTAACCCCATTTTTAACTATCCAGCAGTTGAGAGTTACTGCCTGTTAACAAATTTGCAAGGTAGCTGAGTGTAGCCTTTTCTTGAGTATCTGATTTTACAGTGCATTTCTTTAGTATGTGTACATTTTTCCTTAATGTTTTCATTTCTAATAAAAATTTTAAATTGGACTATGTTGTACATATTTTGTGTGGTTCCCCCAACTTTTTCACGATTCAGTGCGTGCAAACGCGAGAGTGTGAGAGACATCCCTAGGCCTGGTCCCACCGTGATCCCCCCCTCCAGTCCTCCAGCCTGTTGGCTCGCGTGCACTCGTGCTTGTACTCAGATGTTCTGGGCTGACCCGGTGGGGATTCAAACCAAGGTCGCCATGTGGGATCTGCCTTCTCTCGGGCAGTGTTACCACTGTGCTATGGGACTGGCCCCTTAATAGGAGTTTTGCTATTCCATATATCACCTAGAATCATAGCTCCTTTGCCTTTGGATGAGTCACTACATTAATTGCAAATCTTGCTGCTCATTTGTTGCATATGTGTGTATTTCAAGTAATTTATTCTTAGGGAACACCTTCAGACGAAGGGATTTGTCACAATCCCAGATTGAATTGATAGTTACAGATAAAGGTCTGCCTTTCAAGATTTCAGTGATTAAATGAAATGCCAAAAGCTGTTTCCCAAAATAAAACCAGATCAGTTTTCTCGTGTTTATAATAAGGAGTATTAGAGTAAGACCTGACTAACTCAGTTTTTTTTTTTAACCTTTCTTTGGTCAGATGGAATCACGTTAAACATGGTATTAAAAAAGAAAAAAAAAAACTTTAATTGGAAATTTTATAATTGAAATGAGTTTTCATCTTATAGACCACATAAAAATGTTAGACATCGAAAAGTGCTTAAAAACCAATTGTGCCCAGCCCCTCATGCCTTTTCCCAAGTGCTGAACAGAGGGTGACATCTCGCGTTGAAGCCGTCTTTCCCGGAATCCATACTCTGGTTTCCTGCCCCTCCTGTTCGGCCTTGCCTGTGGCCCTCCCTGCCCGGTCTGCTGTAGTCCGGTTCCGTGGAACGTATCTATAAATCTAGCGTGGGCGTGTGGGCACAGATCACGGTTATATCAGACTGTAAGCAGTGGGACCAGGATATGCATATATAATGTAACTATTAGAAACCTTTCACCTACAGGGGAAGTGCATTTCTAATGTGTTCAGCTGCGAGAGTCACTTAGGCCGACTCTTTCCTACTAGAGAACGCAGAGTAAATGGGAGGCAGGAGCTGATAGCTAGCCTGGCAGCAGTAGCCAGAACACACCCCGACTGGGGCACCTTCGGGTAGGACCCCGTCTCCATCTCATGTTCTCGCTCATTTTTTAGGCAGAGCCCCAGGACTCCTTAGCCAACTTTTATGTAACTGGCTCTCCTAGGTCGGGGCTTGAACTAAGTGTTAAAGAAGCCGAGGAGCTCAGATGGAGATAGAGAAGTCTCCCTCGAAAACGTGGCAATTGCTCTTCAAGTCCACCCCGTGAAGCTGTTCTGGATTGTGTATCTGACAGAATTCTACATCTATGTTTCGAATATTTCGTTTAGACTAAAACAAGGGTTGCTAGTTGACTATTTGGCTAGGTTGTCTCAGTTGGACACTGACAACTCTGGCTTCCTCCCCTGGAGAGAATGTGGTATTAGCGCCCCTCGCTGTCACAGAAGGGGGCTGTTCCGCAGAGGCCGGCTCATGGCTTGACGGCGATACTTCTCCTCCTCCTCCGCCCAACATAGACTTGGTCGCCTGCAAAATTAGATGACAGGTGTGACGTTAAACAATAATCCTGTGGCCTGTGGGGACCTTAGCTTGGCCAATTTTGGCAACTACCGAAAGGTTGCCTCCAAAGAAATCCCTTGTAAGACTATCAGTGTATTCGAGTCGTTCACTCTATTTCTGTTTGTTTGTTTCAGTTTTGCTGTAGCACAAGTGCTTGCCAGAGAGAGAAGGAGGGAAAGTGAGAAATCACCCCCGGGGACGATGGCCACACCACAGTCCCTTCTCCATTCTCCTCCAGGATTCGGGCAAGCACGCATATGCACCTGGTGTGATTTTCAAGCCACTGGGTCCAGGACTCAAACCACACAGTCGGTCATGTGGGATCCAGTGCCTTACCCTCCACACCACCCATTTACCCCATTTCATTACCAGACTGCTTTTTTCCCTCCCTCCTTTGGCACTCTGCTTCCTTTCTGTCTGGCAGTTAATGCAGTATTATGCAAATTATGCTGCTGTTATGCAAACTGCGCAGCTCTAGCTGTCTGCCCGGTAACCCGCGGCGTTTGCCTGAATGCCTCAGCCCTTGCTCTGGAACAGATCATCCCCTTCTCAGTTGAGAACCAGCCTCAGCCTCCCACACCCCAGAAGTGCAGCAGCCATTGCTCACCTTTGTCTCCTTTTTCCCCCTTGTGCCCTCGAGGACCCGGTGGCCCAGGACGGCCTGGCGGTCCAGCAGGGCCCCTGTCACCTGGAAGGACAGACAGGGCATGACTGACGCATGCGTGCAGGAGTAAAGGAGAAAGCTGAAGGCATGGCCCGGTACCCGGTGCAGCCCCCGAGGGAGCCAGTTTCGGCCAGCGGTTGCTCCAGAGGATCCTGGCGGCCATCTCTTCGCCACCACTTACCTTTGAGCCCTGGGGAGCCCATCTCTCCCTTCTGCCCAGGGGGTCCTGGAATGGCTCCATAAGCTGCAAGGTGGAAAAAAACAAAACAGCCTTAGACTAGAGATTACCCTGAAGCTGGGGGGCCAGGTCTTTTGGTCAAAGTAACAGAGAGTAATAGAGTGTGGACTTGTGAGAGGAAACCGTGTAGGATTTATCTGATTTTCAGTGTGAAGTGTTAAGAACTGGAGGTTTTTATGAGACTGGTGGCATGGAACACCCCCGTGTGAGACCGTGGCGCAGGTTAGGTGCTGCGAGAGCAGTCGGGACGCCCTTACTTCGGAAGAAGTCCATGAGGTCTTCGGTCACGTTGCTGTAGGCAGAGAAGACCTTGCTGATGCCAGGGGGCCCCTGGGGCCCAGGCCGGCCTGGTGGGCCCTGGACGGTGTAGGCCATCCCTTGTAGCAGCCCCTGGCCTGTGAAACACCAGAGTGTGGGTGCAAAGGCAGCCGTGGCTCAGCACTCCCTCAGCAGCAGTGCAGTGCTCCCTGATCGCCCGACTCCCAGAACAAGACTAGATTAGGCTGTAGCGGGACAGCCCTGCCGCCTGCCTGTGTGACCGGCAGGGGCCAGTGGGCCCGGCAGGTCTCTGCCCGCCCGCCGCAGCACTTGTCCGAGGCTTTCGGGCTGCATAGCTGTGCTGATGAACTGGAGCGACCGGACTTGTTGGCCAGCATCCTTCCCTCGGCCCCCCTCAGGAAACCCTTGTGGTCATGACTCCTCTGAGATCCGAACAAGGGAGGGTCCGGAACGCACAGTACGAAGAGCCCAGTGTGCCCGGGTCCTGCAAAGCCAGCTCCAGGCGGGGCCCCTTGAATATAGCCGGCTGAGGGTTAGGGTGGGGCCTTCTGTCTGCGGTTCCTGCCCGGATGATTCCCAAATTGCTGTCTTCACAGCCTGGCACTCCAGAAACGGGAGGGCCAGTCTCTGGGCCTAGACACCGAGATGCCCCCAAGCTCCCGCCCTCAGCATGTCCCCACTTACGCTGCAGACTCTCTGACACCCGAACGGCCAGCTCGTTGTAATCCAGATTTCCAGCAAAGCCAGTCCTGAATGATCCGCCATTGCCACCAAACATGTCACCTTCTGCAGCTGCGCCATAGCCCCCACCTGGGCCGACGTCAGTGCCATAGGGTCCTCCGTCTCCTGCAGCTGCGCCAAAGGCTCCCTCTTCACCTAAGGAGCCCCTGCTGGCTCCTCCGATGCCCATTGAAGAGCTGTAGGAGGTGGCCCGTCTGACGGAGGAGCTGCCACCCAGACCGTAGGAGCCATCCACTGACACCAAGCGGCTGTCTCCAGGGGGTCCCTGCGGCCCCGGAGGGCCCGGGGGGCCAACAATGAAGCTGCGCACATCGGGACCTGCGGGGAGAGCTGCATGAGTGGGAGCCCTGGGCCTGGTGGGGAGGAAGACTTGGGAGTTAGGGGGTGTCTCCCAGCGTCGCCACGCCCCGGAGCAGCGGAGGTGAACCGCACAGCCCTGTTCACAGCAGGCCACTGGCGAGGAAAGCACCGGGCCTGCCCTGACGAGCTGCTCTCCCATGTGGCCCCTGGGTCCCTCGAGCACCGTGCTGCCCCGTGGACAGGGAGAGCAAGGTCGGGGGAGGCACGGGGGACACGAATGCCAGGGGCACCTACTCGTGAGGTAGCTGATCAGCTCGCTCCGGAAGCTGTCGCTGTTGTCTGCAGCATAGGTTGCCAGAGCTCCCGAGACACCCGGGGGCCCCCGAGGGCCTGGGGGCCCAGGAGGGCCTGGAGGGCCTGGGATGGACGACAGGCCTGCAGCTGAGTGGAGGGGCGAGGGAGAGGAAGGTCAGGGGTCATGGTGAAGAGAAAGCCAATCCCTATCTGGGCTCTGGCCGGCCGTGTGGCCCTACTGGAGGAGGATGAGGCCAGGCCTCCCGGAGGAGGCCAGAGAGAGCTGTTTCCTGGCAGCACCCAGGACAGTGGCCACTGCTCTGGGCCTCCTCAGCCCCAGTCCTGCTGCTCTCCTCTCCTCGCCCCTGCGCTGAGAGCAGCCCCGAGCTGGCCCTTACCCCGGGGCGCCCAAGCTCTCCAAGGGCCGCACGTGGGAGTGCTCTCTCCCACTTCCACCCATGCCAGGGCCAGGGCGCCTCACCAGCAAGTAGGGTCTCCCTAGGTCCAGCCCAGTGCCCAGCACCATGCGTGGTTGTGTGTGTGTGTGTGTGTGTGTGTGTGTGCAAGAGAGAGAGAGAGGGAGAGAGGGCGTCGTGTGTGGGCTCCATGCAGGACGGTGCCCAAGACCTCCTTGCTCCAGGAGGGCCTGGCCCACTGGCCACGTCTCCATGGCCGCCCCTGCCATGGCCCGCAGGAGTCCCATGGCCGGCTGCAGCTGTCCATCCGCCCTCCTCACCCCCTGCCCAGTGCCCTACTGTGCAGGTAAGACGAGAGGTCCTCCATGCTGATGCTGGACCACGCGCTGCCGGGGAGCCCCGGGGGACCCGGCGGACCTGGAGGTCCAACGATGCCTCTGAACTCAGACCCTGCGACCAAGGGAGAGTGCGGCTCAGTCGGCCCGGCCAAGGTGCTCTGCTTCCATTTCAAACCCTTGGACAAACGTCTCCTGCTCAGTCTTACCTCGGAGCAAGGACAGGAGCTCCTCGGAGGATGTTCCTGGCAAACCAGGGGGGCCCGGGGGGCCAGGAAGCCCAATGCTGATCCCGGAACCTGAGAACAAGAGCCCAAGTAGTGACTGGGCGGCGGGGGAAGGTGGGAGCAAACGCCCGCCAGGGAGGAGGTCAGATGCTGACCATGGACGGAGGTGGGGCTGACAGGGAAAGGGGTGGGAGGAGCGGCAGAGAGCAGCACAGACAACCCCGGGACCGCCCTCAGGTCCCCGGCAGAGTGCAGGCCCAGTGTTCATAGGCCTCGTCCTGCTGGGTGTGTGGGAGCATGCATGTGCATGCGTGTGTAGGGGGAATTGCGTGCAGACTCCTTGTGGGACAGTGCCCAAGACCTCATTTTGGCTTTTCTCACAGGCTGAGTAGCTGCAAAGGCCACTCAGTCTGCAGGGGCTGGTGCAGCCTGGCAGGAGGGCGGTGGGGCCGTCTCAGGGAAGTTCAGCACCTGGTCCTCACCCCAGGCCCTTCCTGACCCCATCGCAGAGGGCAGGCCGGGAGGCAGACACTCACTCGACATGTAGCTGAGAACACGATTGCTCAGCTCTGCGTAGTCCAGAGATAGGAGGGAGCCGTCTCCACTGGCTCCCGGTGGCCCTGGGGGACCACGAGGACCTGTCAGGAACTGCCGGAGGTACTGCCGCACGTCGTCCCCTGGGGAGGGGAGGATGCGTTAGCACGGATGTACCAGGCCCCCGGGGCCTCATGCCCTGGCTCCCCGACACAGGTGCTCCCAGTGACATTTGTGAGTTCCGGGCTGACACTGGCTGGAGTTAGCCAGCTCCCAGGCCCTGAAGGGACACCTGCCTGCTTGCCTGCAGGGGGCTGGGGGAGGCTCGCTGCTCCCTTCGCAGTCCGCTGACTCAGCAAACAAATCAGAGCAATGACAGTGGCGTCAGACGGGGAAGGTGTGTCTGACAGTAAGGCCAGGGGACAGCCAAGACGGTCCCACCCTCTAGCCCACCACGGGCGACTCACGCTGCAGCACAGCCAGGATGTCTTCGGACAAGATGGAGGACGAGGACAAGCTGACGCTGTACCCCGAAGCTGTTGGAAGGAAACCTCGGGTTACCCCTTGTCTGGTACTGAAGCGACAAACGGCCTCAGCATTCCAGAATCTGAGAGACCCAGGTAGCTGATTGTTTTTTCCCCCCAGGGTATTTAGAAAGCATGAAAAAGACAAAATTTGTTGGTTTTTGTGAAAAATGCAGTTTCTTTTCAAGACTATGCTTTAGCCCAGCTGCTACCAGATCCCGCCAGCCGGAGAGACCTGTCTCATGAACACGAAGTGCCGGTGACAGGCACCCTGGCCAGACACAGGAAGGCTCACTGAGCACCGCCTGCGCCCTCCATCTGGACAAAGCCCCGGGAAGTTGTATCCCAGTGGCCTGATTAACATGGATTCAGGACTGAAAAATCTCACCCAGCAGGTAGCAAGGTGGTTAAGGCACTGGACTCCCACATGGCCAACTACAGTTTGAGTCCCAGACCTGGCAGCTTGAAAATTGTGCCAGGCATGTGTGTGTACATGCCCAAAATTCCAGGAGGAGAATGGAGGAGAAGGGAAAAAAAAAAGCCCCCCCCCCCCCCACTCCCCACCCCCAGGGGTGATTTCTCACTTTCCCTCTCTCTGTCGCTCTCTGGTGGTAAATTTTTACCCTGTGGTAAAAATCTAAAAAAAAAAAAAAAATCCTACCCAATGGAAGGGCAAATCAAACAGTAAATTAAGAGATGGGATGTCGGGAACAGAAGTGGACCCTCAGGAGGAGGGCTGCGGGACTGGGGAGTGGGGAGAGGCTTACTCCGCAGGTAGCTCACGACCTGGCTCGCCAGCTCTGAGTAGTCGAAAGTTTCGCCAGCGATGGTGGTGACAGGCCCAGGGGGACCAGGTGGACCTGGGGGACCCTGAACTCCAGACAGGTAAGACCTGATACTGTCACCTGCCAACAAAGGAATGCAGTAACGTCAAGCTTGTCCTCAAGGGCACATGCCCCACCCCCCCCGCCCACGAAGAAGACTGGAAGCACGTGGGGGAATGTCTCCATCCCGCAGAGGCCCACGCAGGGCCGGCAGGAGCAGAGACCCCTCTGTTACAGACGCAGAATTGAGGCAGAGGCCTGTGCCTGGTCAGGTGGTCTGTGAGGGCTTGGGACAACGGGCTGCAGTCAGTATCTCCCCTCGCAGCGGGGAGAGCTGCGAGGCGGTGCGTGCATGTGGGAGCATGTGTGTGTGTGTGTGTGTGTGTGTGTGTGTGTGTGCAAGCTTCCAGGTGGGGTGAGACAGGTCACGTGTGTGGACAGGCTGGCTGGGAGCTCACTGACCTGCAGGTCTGGCTGCAGGGGTGGAGGACTTAGGCCTGGCCGCACAGGCTCCTCTCAGCCTCTTTCCCCCCCGGCCCCCCTCCAACCCCAAGGCCAGGCTGCCGGCCACTCACTCTGCATGTACTCAGAGAGGTACTGCTGGATCTCCCGGCTGGAGCTGAGGGAGCCTGGAGCCCCGGGTGGCCCTGGTGGGCCTGGCGGGCCTGGCACATACATGGTGCTGGATGATCCTCCTGCAGGAAAGAAACGAACGGCACACTGACTGGCTTCTCACCCCGGGGAGACGAAGAGAGGCCCAGGCACTGTTTCCAGGGCCTGAGGAGGGAGGGTCTCTCTCGGTGGGAGACACAGGACGGTGGCAAAGAGAGGGGCCCCTGAGAAGAGAGGAACGGAGTGCCTTTAGCCGCCACTGTCTGAAAGGAGCTGGCCCAGGCCAGACTCTGCTTTCCCTGAGCACCCTGCTCACCCCTCACGTGAGTCCTCTCCTCTCGGCACCTGCAGCTCCCAGTCTGCTCCGGTCTCCACCGCTCTCTATTTTAGTGATTTTTATACCTGCAAGGGCCCTCCCCTCCCCTCCTCTCCCACTTAAAGGCATTGTAGAGATAGCTGCACGTGGAGAAGATGCCGGGTCAACCCTGAGTCACGGATAAATGAATGCCAAATACATCAACACCCTCATTACAATGACCTGCCTCGCAGAAGGGAGAGAAACTTCGGTCACCTTTGCTTCTTACCTAGCGATGAACCAGCAGAAATGCCAGGAGCCCCTGGGACACCGGGATCACCTGGAATCCAAAATGAGATAGACTGCGTCACCTTCTCTGGGAAGCCTTCCCGGGCTAATCCAACCACATTTGTTTTAGTGTGTAGTTCAACAAGTGCCCCGTGTCTCCTGCTCTTGTTTCTGCAATGGATCCACAAGCTCCCGATGGGCAGAGGCTATGCCTTTGGGTCCTTGTCCCTCTCCTTCAGCCTCTTCTCCCAGCCCTCGGCACCCAAAGTCCTCACTGCCTTCTACTCAGGCTCCGGGCTCTGGGAGTCAGGCTTGCTTCCCTCGTCACCATCTTCTCGGCTGCTCCTTCACTGACCTTTGTCCCCTTTGGGTCCCTGGGGGCCGGGTGGGCCTGGTGGTCCCTGAAGGTTGAGTCCGACAGAACTGGATCCTGGACGCCAATAACACACACAGTGCAGTCAGCCAGGGCCGGGAGGGCGGCTCAGAGCCGGGGCGGGGTGGGACGCAGCCCCTACCTGAGGTGGGGAATCCGGGGAGGCCTGGCTCGCCTGAGGAGCACAGTGAGAGAGGGGTGATCAGCCTCACACCCGCGCTCCACCCAGCACCCCCTCCCTTCCGAGCCTCCCAATTCCACGATTGCAGGGGCAGTACCGAGAGCTGCACACGCCCCAACACGCACACTCGCACAGGCCCCGCAGCGGGCACACGCACAGACACACGCGATGGTCACAGACACACTTGATCTCCTCTTGTTCATTTGAACCAAATACATTTCCAGGCTCAGAGCTCAGGGGAGGCCCCGGCTCAGGTTTTGTACCTTGGTGTCCTCGGGGGCCTGGGGGACCTGAAGGAAAGATGTGGAGAGCCGTGAGACACACATCGGACCAGTGTCGTGGCTTCGAGGATGGAGGGGGGGATGGGGTCCCAGTGCTGGAGCAGACACAGAGCTAGGGGCTCCCCGTGTCTCTCCTCCACCAGGCCGTGGTAGGGGTGGGAGGTCTGGAGCTCCTGACCACTGTGCTCGCCCTCACCCCACCTCATCCAGCCTCACCCAAACTCTCTAGGCCACCAGGCAAGTAAGCGGGGGGCATATATTATCCTCACCTTGGTCTCCCTTGGGGCCTGGGGGGCCAGGTGGGCCTGGGGGGCCAGAGAAGAAGCTATCTGCAGAAGGAAACAGTCTGAGTGTGGGCAGAGTGAAGCCACGAGGGCTCACACCCCGCTCAGTCCTCGGCATGCTGGAGAGGCTAGCACTGGTCAAGTGGGTGGAGCTTTAGATGTTTGGGAGGTTGGATAGAAAAGTGAACAAATGAATAGGCCGTCCAGGTGGCGTGTTGGTTAAGGAGGCTGGATCCCACACGGCTGACTGCATGGTTTCAGTATAGGACCTAGTGGCTTGGTGCGTGTGCACATGCCCAAAATTCCAAGAGGAGAATGAAAAAAGGGGGATTGTGGTGTGGGTACCCCTCCTGGGGGGGGGTGATTTCTCAGTTTCTCTCTCTCTGAGACATGCATGTACCTTATAGCAAAAATTAACAAAAAAATATAGATGAATGGGGGATGGCTACATAGATAGGCGGACGTATGGATGGATGGGTGGGTAAATGCATGGGTGGAGGGGTGGATGGGTGGAAAAGTGGATGGATGGTTTTCCACTAGGGACACAGTGGTTTCCATGTCTGTGCTGTCGGCATTTATCTCACCCATTCGTGTGTGTTCTGCCTAGTTCCTGAGGCCTGGGCTCCCTGAGGAACTGGGCCTCCCAGTCAGTCCTGATGGTCCCTAAGGGCAGAGCTGTCTCCCCCTCCAACCTCTGAGACAGACCATCAGGGTGGCTGTGTCAGCCGGTCAGTCCTCCCCACATGCAGCGAGCTGTGAGGGCTGCTGGGAAGGCTGTGTAGGTGCTCTGGGGAGGGTCAGGAGGCGGCAGAGCGAGCAGGTCAGTAAGGTGCAATGCTGTGCCTGGGGCACATGCCAGGGCTGGGGCTGAGGTGAAGACCAGGTGGGACTTACATCCACGACATTACCTGAGTCAGTCAAGGGAGATCCTGGAGGGCCTGGTGGGCCTGGTGCGCCTTCCCCTAGACAAGAGAATCCCTGAGACTTCGTACCTGGAGGTGGGCCAGGAACCCTTTGCCCAGGAGGAGGAGCCAGGGAACTCCTGGGTTCTGAGACTCCTCGTCACTCCCCTCCTTCCACCTTCCACCTTCCACCAGGGAGCTGGGCTCTTACCTGGTGGGCCTCGGGGTCCTGGTGGGCCTGGAACAGCGGGCCCTGCGGAGAGTGAGAAGAGGAAATGCTGAACCTGGGGCTGAAAGTGGGAACTTGACTTCCTCACTAAGCACCTTGAGCTTCCTGTCCCAAGACTACCTGTCTTCACAGACCCCTGAGAGGCTCACCTGGTGGCCCACGTGGTCCAGGTGGGCCTGGGGGACCTCGTAAATCAAGACCTTCTGTAGAGAGAAGAAAGCAGAAGTGAGCAAAGATTGCCGGGAGGCTGCTGTCTGCCACGCTCCTTTCCTCTTGCCTGGATCGTCAGTCCCAGGCACCCGGGCTATCCTCATACCCAAGACCTGGCCTGGGTCACAGCATAGGACCCTCCAGGACCCAGGGGCAGGTGGGCCGCAGTCAAACTCCTTGGCAGTCAATACGTGTACACAGAATGACGGGTAAGAACTTGGGCTTTGCTGTCAAGTAGCCTGAGTTTGAACCTTGCTTCTACCCCTCTAGCTGGTGACCTTGGGGAAGCTCTCAACATCATGCAGTCGTCACTTTCCTTCTCTGTAAACCAGAGTTGCAGGGGCGTCAGGAAGACCTGGCAAGGTGCCACTGAACACTAAGCTGCTGGCACAAGCGAGTGCCTGGTGCAAGTTTGGCCAGAGTGGGCTGTCGCTTTGCTGCTCAGCATTCCCGGCATGCAGAGCGAGGCCCCGCAGCACCTCAGCGGGGCTAAAGCACTCCGTGAACAGGAGGACCCAGGAGTCAGCTGTCGCAGGCTGGGCCTCTGGCTGGGCGCCTCCGACCATGTCACACTCTGAGTTGGGGATGCACGACGCCTGCCAGCGATACCCACTACCAAGGCCTGGCCTGTCCCTGGTGCCCCTGGAGTCCCAGAAGTCACAGTGGCCCACTCCCCATGACTCACACTTCCATGGCAGACAAACCCCCACTGTTCCTTCTGGGCTGCATGTCAGAGGGACTGGCCTTGTCGTGGCTTCGAGGATGGAGGAGGGGATGGGGTCCCAGTGCTGGAGCGGACACAGGGCCCTCACACGGGCCCCAGCCAGTGACTCACTCGTGCAGCTGCCACAGGCCCGGGGTGTGCTGCTGTCTGTCCCAGCCCCCGCCCCAGGCGGTGTCACCTGCCCCAGAGAATGGTGGTACTCACGAGCAGAGAGGACCTCGGAGATGGAGCTGCTACTACCCAGGAACGAGTCGCCAGCCAGCCCTCGCTCCCCTCGTGGGCCTGTGGGGAGGACGCAGAGTTAGCTGGAGGTCACGTATGCTCCCGCTGTCTCTGCAGCGGGCAGTGCTGGGTGGGGGTGGGTTGAATGGAGGGGGCGGCACCAGGGCACTGACTGGGGTCCCGTCTTTGGCCAAAATATATGGAAAATCAGGGTCGGCTTTTCGCAAGCCCACTTGGGTATTTGGGTATGATTATCAGGGCAGGGTTTCAAGGTGAGCCCTCTGCCCACAGAAGCCCAGCCCGAGCCCTGTGAAAATAGCCAAGCTCGACCCTGGCCAGGGGCTGAACACAGGACTTCATTCCCTAGCCCCAGGACCCCTGCCTTCTCAGAAACTTGGAAGGGGTGAAAGGAAGGGTCTCTCCTTCCAGCTGAAGCCTTGGAAGACCCCTGGTGAAGACCCCTGGGGCCCTCTCCCCTCCCTTTCCAAAAGCACATCTTTCACTTCATCTAAAGCTCAGTGCCCATGTGCTCCCTGGGAAACAGCCCTTCTGACTGAGCTCAGAGTCATGTGTCCATCAGGGTGTGACATACCTTGCTGTCCTGGGAGACCAGCTGGGCCGGCAGGGCCTGGAAATGGGTTGGGAAAGGAAAAGCGAAATCACACCTCTAGGTCACAGGGCAGGCGCCTGGTGTACACAGTTCCTCACCAGGTCTGGAACAGTGGCTCCCC